TAAAAAAATGCCACAGGATAGAAGACGTATTACTCTGCAAAAGACAATGACACCATTTAGATAGTTGTTATACTGTATTAATTATTAATCTGTTTTCAATATATAGATTTGATTTTAAATTTATAATTTTAGTATAAAATCCCAGCTTGTAGTTATTGGCAGGTGATACCTTGACCACGCGAAGTCGATATCCAGATTTTTACATAACGTTAGAATGGAAATGGCATTTCAAATCAATTTAATTGGAAAAGTGCACCTAATATTAATGAATAAACATCTTTATAATGATTAAACCAATATAATATGGCAACAATATACTTTACATCCCAGGGAATGTGTCGAGGACTAGCGAAACCTTACAGGAAATAAACCATGTTATAAATCTAACTACAAAGCATTCAGAATGATGATACTGTCCTTGTCAGTAGGAAGAAAATGACACTGTTACGACCTTGATTTTACATAACAGGCGTATTTATGGAACACTCATTTCTCGAACAGGAATTTGAAAGTTATGAAGTATGATGGAGACTGATGAATGATGATGTTATGAAGTACAAGGATAAGATGAAAATAATAAAAATAATAGAATATCACTTTAAGGGAGTATCGAGGTCCTGCCACCGCCTCGAAGCTGCGCTTACCGTTGAGACCACCGTCGAAGTACTTGAGGTCCTGCACCGCCTCGTAGCTGCACTTACCGTTGAGCACCACGTCGAAGTACTTGAGGTCCGTGCACCGCCTCGTAGCTGCACTTACCGTTTGAGCACCATGTCGAGGGTTTTGAGGTCCTGCACCGGCCCTCGAAGCTGCACTTACCGTTGAGCACCATGTCGAGGTTACTTGAGGTCCTGCACCGCCTTGTAGCTACACTTACCGTTGAGCACCACGTCGAGGGCACTTTGAGGTCCTGCCACCCTCGAAGCTGCACTTTACCGTTGAGCACCATGTCGAGGTTTTGAGTCCTGCACCGCCTCGAGCTGCACTTCCGTGGCACCAAAAATGTCGAGGGGTTTTGAGGTCCTGCACCGGGGCCTCGAGGCTCCTTACCGTTGAGCACCAACGTCCTAGATTACTTGAGCGTCCTGCACCGCTCGGTAAGCTGCACTTACCGTTGAGCACCATGTCGAGAAGGTTTTGGAGTCCTGCAACCCGGGCCCTCCGAAGCTGCACTTTACGTTGAAGCACCCATGTCGAGGGGATTTTGAAGGTTCCTGCACCCGCCTCGTAGCTGCACCTTTTACCGGGGTTGAGCACCATGTCGAGGGATTTGAGTCTCTGCACCGGCCTCGTAGCTGCACTTTACCCGTTGAGCACACTACGGTTCGAAGACTTTTTGAGGTCCTGCACCAGGGCCTCGTAGCTTGCCGCCTTACGTCGTTTGAGCACATGTCGAAGTACTTGGTAACTGCACCGGGCCTCGTCAGCTGCACTTACGTTGAGCACCCTGTCGAGGGTTTTGAAGGTCCTGCACCGCCTGCGAAGTGGCACTTACGTTGGGGGAGCAACCACGTCGAAGGTACTTTGAGGTCCTGCACCCGGCCTCGTAGCTGCACTTACCGTAGCCCACACATGTCGAGGGTTTTGAGGTCCTGCACCGCCTCGAAGCTGCACTTACCCGTTTGAGCCACCATGTCGGAGTACTGGGTCCTGGCACCGGGGCCTTAGTAGCTCACACCTTACGCGTGAAGCACGCAAACGGTCGAGGCCACTTGACGTGTCCTGCACCCGCTCGAATCTGCAACTCCGGTGAGCACCATGTCGAGGTACTTGAGTTGCTGAGCACCGTTTCTCGTGTGAGCTGGCCGGGAGCGGGCTCCACGGCGGCATCACGTCCCGCTGCAGGCGCTGCTGCACCCCGGCGTGCCCGCCGGTCAGCTTCCAGCGCCGGAGAAGCCCATGGCGTGGGACACGTGTCCGGAAGCCCGCGAAGAAGAAAGAATCACCCGCTTGCGCCGTTGATGTTCCGTGTCGTCAGCTCTGCAACGCCCACGGCACGACCTCGCCTTAATTTTGTCCAGCATTGGCTGGTTTTCCCTATTTTCGACGTAATTATAATAACTACATGAAATTAGTAATGTATGATACATTCATTTCGCATCGTTCATGATCTCTGATAATCCGACTTGGGCCAGCAAAGACGGCGACCGCTAGGCCTGGGCCCTGGTGTTTATTTATTATCTGCGCCAGGGTGAAGAGTCGTGGTGGGAGAAATGGACGGTTATTCCAAGTCTAACTATCCTTACTTGCCTGACGGCGAGCATTTATTCGGCACTCACTATAAGCAATCTTAAACGAACGGATTTTGTTCAGCTTAATTCTTCTCCTTTACGGAACCGGGCGTAACTGAAAATATAACAACACGGCTCCATGACCACTCGGAAGATCAAAACTAACTAAATAACTAAATACAGAATAACTAACTAACTAACTAACTAACTAACTACTAACATATAATATAACTAACTAAACTAACCTAACTAACTAACTAACTAACTAACTAACTAACTAAATAAAATAAATAATAATAAATAAATAAATAAATAATAAATTAAATAAATAATAAATAAATTAAATGAAATTAAATAAATAAATATAATAAAATAAATAAATAAATAAATAAATAAAATAATAAATAAATAAATAAATTAATAATAAATAAATACAATTAATAAATAAGATAAATAAATAAATAAATAAATAAATAAAATAAATAAATAAATAAATAAATAAATAAAGAATATAAATTAAATAAAACGTAATAGAAAAAAATTGTCAGAAAAAAACTTGAGATCTAATCTTAGCACTACTGATCTGATCAATCCATCCCCGACCGGAACATCCTCCCCCCCCCCCGCCCAGCCAATTGAATTGACTCACGCAGCTTGCGGGCGCCCGTGACCACCTCCTCCTCGTCGCCCGCCTCGGCCTTCAGCTGGCCCGCGCGCGCCTGCATGAGCAGCTGCAGCATGTCGGGCCGGAAGATGCCCTGCTTCTGGCGCGCGCGGATCGTCTCGTGCACGCTGCCGTGGAAGAAGTCGCGCACCTTCGGGGAGATGAACGGCAGGTTGAGTACCTGGAAGCAGCAAAAAGACACGGTTGGGATCGAGAGACAAGGTTTCTAGAGGGAAAGTCGACTCTTATTCCGATTTCCGCAGGCCTGGTTTGGTAATCCGTTCCAGAGAGAAAACGTTGCAATGCCTATTTTTGCCGTGCAATATTTTTTTGCTTGTGTAGTGTCTCGAAGACCATTTAATCATCGAATCATTTAATCGAGTATCTAACATCGACTGAGATAGCACTTGCTTCGCTGCATCTTTTAACAGCACATCATAGGTTTAGAGTCTCGACGGTGGCTGATTTTTCATGCATACCACGTAACTTTGTCGATTTAAAGCACTGTGTGCAGGATAATTATAGCAGTCAGGTGTTCAGATATGTAGTTTTCCGTGGTTTCGTCGATCAATACCAGATGAATGCCAGACGCGATCTTTCCTTCTTTATCCATCTCTTCCTCTAGAAACACATGTCACACATACACACACATACATGGATTATAGAAACACACACGTCGGGAGACCCGTTGAGAGCTCAGAGGCTGTTCTGATTGGTGCCATGTCCCACTAGGGGGCGACTCTCATAAGAGTCCTGTAAATCGACGTATAGGTCAGAGCCGGATCTCACGTTTCAGCGAGGGAGTAGCACCGCCACATCCCGGAATATAGCATGCACCACACTTAGGGGACTAATTACCTGCGTTGTTGATGCGCTCGGAATTAACCCTCCGGCGGGCACAAACCATCATTTCCCGCCAGCAGGCGCCTGCGGCACCCCGTACCGCGCTCCTCTTCTTCGGGTTTCGCGTCAATAGTTATTGCTTTCATTAGGGCAGGGGAAGGAAATAGTCTTTATTTAAGCTTTTATACGTTATATTTCATATAACTAACTAAATACCAAAACAAATAATAATAGTAATGAGAATCGGATGCATCACTCGCTCCCTCCGTGTCTTGGCACTAGTTACATGTCAGGGAATGAATCGTCTGATTTTTGCAAACATGCCCCCCTAATGTTTCTTCGGAAACAATACATCTAAATTTGAATTAGTAGTGAGTACTTCAAAATCTTTGACATAAAGCTCAATACTAAAACAGCAGCAATGATTTATTCTAATGGATAGAATACGCAAATACCTTTCTTACACAAGGCGTGGGCTGCACGGAGTGCCGTTACCGTTGCAGAGTTCTGACTACTAATGAATAACGGTCGATCGGCAGAGTAAAAAATCGTTATCTGAGTGTCATCAGGTTGGAAACATAATGAGCGAGGAATACCTATGAGCTCCATAGTGCGACACCTATTATTTACACGACAGCAACAGAAATGTAAGACTGCGGCACTGAGTGCCCACCCGAGGATTAACACTCTTTGGAACTTCTAATTAAGTATTTTATGAGATAACTGATACTATTTGCTGCTGGAATTTGCGGCAGACAAAATGCTTACCCGGAAGGCATTGTAGGATTTTTTCCCCTCAAAAGAAACATTGGTAATTCGACTTCTACATGAGTTACTTATGTGATACCATGGCGCCTCACCTCCATGAGCTTGGGGCTGAGGAGGTAGCCCAGGAAGAGCAGCATGCGCAGGCCCTTGGTGTTGGTGAGGTCGCGCCCCATCACGTAGAACGCGTTCTGGCGGTCGCGCAGGGAGTCGCACTGGATGCCGAAGGCCGTCGTGGCGATCACGTCGTTGGTGAACCGCGTGAAGAAGTCCTTCATGTCGGCCTCGTACACTTTCACTGCCAACACACAACAACTCCCGTTTCTCTCAAAGATAATTAAGTCCTTGCCAGTTGCCCTGTCGGTCCCAGTGGGATGGAACTCGAGATAGGTACACTCGCTTATTTCCGACCTCTTCGTATTTGGAATAATCAGAACCAAATGCCTGCGCCGACTTAAACAAGAGAGGATAACTACATTTACGGGTTCCCTTTTCCTTTAAACTTTTATATCACATAGTTTATTTGTAATCTGTTAAGCAAAACACATGATAATTACTTCATAACTATAATGGTACATTTAAAATATACATTTTAGTTTAGTACGTTAAACACACGGTCAAGTGTTTATGGTGCCCTTCCAAACTTTTCAGGGTTGCACGCCCCCTGCCTTTTACTGTGCGCTTGCCTGTGAACAGAACGCGGACACAGCACACGAAAGGCTAGGGAAAGACGAGATCGCTAAAGCGGCAGCGTGTTGTTGATATCGGACAAAGAGGTTGCAGGTTCGAATTTCACTTGGGTATGGGCGTGTTGTGGCGGGGTAAGCATTGCCACACCCACTTGTCTCACTATTTTAAAGTCATACTATTCCCTAGCCTGGGATGCTTAAAAATACTCATTTTATTTTTTTAAAGACAACTGTTGTGGTCGACACGTTTCTAAGGATAGGCATTATTATTTTGACTAAAACTACCACATGCTTTACGTTATGATACGGTCAAATAATGATGCTTGTGAAAATTAAAGTATACGAATTAAATTTTTAGCGCAAAGTTACTTTAATGAGGCTGTAGTAATAGTCGCTGAATATTGGCGGTACTTTTCGAATATGATAGGCATGATGATAATACTGATGATAAGGAGAAAGTAGAATGAAATATCTTTGCGATATCAATCGAAGAAAATAGAGTTTCCTAACGAGGAGGAATCTCAAAGGGTTGCCACAAACTAACCTAAGGATTTGCATTTTATTAATTCGAATAAATTTAAATAATGTTCCCGAGTTTGAGCACTTTATTCTTGAACATCGCAAAAAACGACAACCACAGATGCAAAGGAACCGTTCCTAGTTCACTCTTCGAAGCCAAGGGGTAGTCGTTTAATTCAAGTAAGGCCAAATGATTTCACATTTAAAAACTCTAATTCTGCCAAAATTGTTGAAAATTTAGAATAAATTACATAAAAAGTGACGTCACCCAGAATGCTGAGATCGTAATTACCCATCTTGGAGCATCTTTGCAAACCAACAAGAACAACGATCTAAACACTTACATGGGGATTTACGAATTTCTTCTTTCAAAAATTCCACAGTCTGGCAACCGCACTGATCCACCAGCTTGAAGATATTTCGCATTTTGCTTGTAGTGAAGGCAGGACTAAGCGTGGCGCGCATGTCTCGCCATTCTTGTCCTGAAACATTCGTCATTAATTTTCAAAGTACGTACGGAGAAATTACATAGGCACAAAAAAATTGTCAGACCCTACGGCTTCACACATGTTTCTCTATGTATATCAACGCGCTGAATCCGAATCTGAAGCCAGAATTGCGCCATCACCCTCCAGGTTTTTATAAATCGGGAAAAATCACTGGGAAACTTCCAATTTTACGGTGGTATTTCACGATTAAAGAACTGCAAGGCGCAATTCTGGCATCGGATTCGGATTTAGCGTAACGACATCAATAGAGCGTCAAGTCATGCGTCAAATCTTTGAGTCTGGCAAGCGTTGTGTGTGTGCGTGTGTGTGTGTGTGTGTGTGTGTGTGTGTGCGTGTGTGTGTGCGTGTGAGTGTGCGTGTCTGTGAGTGTGAGTGTGTGTGCGTGCGCGCCTGTGTTATTATTAGGCAATCAGTTTATCCAATGGTTATTGTCACCTACCTCTGAGAGCAAACAAATTCTTGGCCATGAGAGGATCCAGTTTCTCAGTTAGAAGGGTTTGGTGGTCCACAAAATGGTCGAAATCTTTCACTGCGAGTTTCTTAATGACCTCTGGATCGCGGACAAAAACGACCGGAGTCATGAACTGGAAAATACCGAACACGGCATAGTCCTGGAATTGGCAATACATCTTTTCCGCGAAATCGTTGAAGGAAAGGATGCCGAAGGTGAGTGGCGCCATGTTGCCCAGGAAGGGCAGCGGGCTGGAAAACGGCAACCCGCGGCTCCGGAAGTAGCCGTGGGTCCAGGTGCCTGCCACGTACAGCAGCCCCGAGAGCACGGAGATCACCAGCGCCCACTGGCCGCCGGGGACGGCGCCCGCCGCCTGCCACAGGGAGCCCGCCCACTCCAACATCCTGGCCCGGGGCGAGGGGTCCTGCAGGCTCCGGCTGCTGAGCGCTGCACACACGCACACAACAGGTAGGTCAAAATCAGTGCAAAAACAGAAATCTGAAGCATTCAAAATGGGACACAGTTACTTCGATGCTTTGATGTTAATATTATAATAATATTATTAGGATTATATTGATAATTATCATTATTTTTAATGTATTAAATTTATGGCTGAGAAAAAATATATTATCTATGAATATTTCCTATTTTCTGTTTTGCTTGGTTTTCAATTATTTTCTACGCAAAAAATCAATAAGAGGAGCAAACTTTTGAAACATATGAGCATGCGTACTTCTTTTTAAAGTAGAAAAAAATTGTAGATCGTCTTCTCTCAAAATTCTGTGCATTAGTCAACCCCAAAGGGCGTTTCGAGCGTTCGTGCAATTTCTGGTGAACGTAGCGTTGGCAATTTACTATTTGAGAAAGCGTTTAAGAAGCGAAATGCGTCACTCAATTTACTATTTCTGTTTGATTAAATGAAAATGTATTTCGTTATGTTCAGACTCGGTAAGATAAGAAAGTAGTGTAAAAGCAATATAGGTAGACTAACTATTGTAGGTAATTATTTCACTGGAGATAACGAAAGAGAAGTCGGGGTTCCTTATATTTCAGATCCACTTTAGAAATTTCTGAATACGACACAATTGTATAAAACAATGAGTAGAGTTGGGTCTTTATTCCTAAATTCTGAAAATGCAAATTCAAATACTCTTAACTCAATGTACTGTTGCGGAACCCATGAGTTGAATTTCCAAATGGCAATATCAATCATCGAATTACGTTTGCCATCAAAATAAATACATTTCTAAGAGCCACATGTGAGTGACAGGTTGTTTACTAGCTTCCTGTGGCCATGAACCTCGCTTACGTAATGAACGAAAAACGTGTTCGTCCTTGAGGATCGCTCGCGACTTTAAAACTGGTACAAAGTCAATGAGTAGCGAGCGGCTGCTCACACAATCAAACAATGGCATTTTCTTTCGTATCCTAGCCATGTAACGATGTCTGTTTAGAATAGAGTATCACAGAATGCCTCCTGGCGATCGCATTTGTTTATTTGTTCCTCTTATCTGTTTCTCTTATCTGTCGCCTCTCGTGGTCTGATTACTCTACCGATTTTAGATCGTTTAGAATCTTCCATTATGAATTGTTGTCAAATACCACTTGCAAACTTTTTTTTTTGAGGTGACCAAAAGTTTATAACTGATTCTAGGTATACTTGCGAAGCTGATTCCAAACTGTGGTTCATTTTGAGTGAGAGCCTCTTAGCCTTTGAGATATTGTTACCATGATTATATTAATAAATTATTTTCCTGTAACATGTTTTATTGTTCCTTAATTTATACACCTGATTTCATTAAATGTATGTTTCTACTGTATTTACATGTATAGATTTCACGATTTTATCGAAAATGTCAAGGAAATTTATATTACAGAAAATCACAAAAAATATTCATTCTCATATTAATTTCATGCATTCTATTTTAATATTAGTAGTATTGTTGTTGTTATTATTATTATTTACATAAGAGATGTTCTCTATTCTAAACTAAACAACTATTATTAACGTAGAAACAAAAAAATATTTATTTAAAAGAAACTGAATCAATAATTGTAAAATTCACTCTTCCCGGTATATGAATCTGAATCTGAATATTCAAGACAACTTCATTTTAATATTTGAAATAATACACATAATGTGAGTGTGTGCGGACGGCGTTGGCTCATGTGTTTAATCACTTTAAATGTTGGATTAGTTTTCTAAATGATTGCGAGAGAGAAAAAGAAACCTTGCATCATGTGAGAAAGCACAACACACTTATTTCATTTAAGATCCAACTCCATCTTCTTTCTTTTCGAGAAAAACGATAATCGACAAGTAAAAAAACTTTGAAATAATCGTGCAAGCACCTTTCCTAAACAAAAGCTAAACCTGTTAGTTTGAAGCAACCAAATATAATAAAATTGTACAAGTTTACAAACCCAAAAACACAACAGAAGATTCAGAAAAAGTCAGCTCTACTAAAGTGTAAGGTATTTATGAATGCACTAATTCTATTTCGTAATGAAACAATAAATCATCAGCGAAAATCGCACCATTAATACAGTAATAATTCACGTAATATACAGACCCACATCGTTTGTTTTAGACATTACGATGACAATAATACAGAGTAAAAACACATACATTTTTATTTTTGTAACTTGAATGTGATTCTACTTTTTTTAAATCAGTTCGCGCCTTGACTAATTAAACAGATAATATTAAAATTAAACAGATGAGGAACCAAATTGTCCCCAAAGAACTTCGTTCGACACGCAGGACCGTACTCACATGAAACAAGCGACAACTGGTGGTTGCGTCAATAGCCGCGAGCAGCGCTGGTGAAGATCTGCTGATCACTGCCTCCTCCATCAGCTCTCAGGCCTCTTATGTGACTCGCATCAGAGAGGGGGCAGTGGGAATAGGAGGTGGAAGACAAGAGTAGGTAGGAATTTGGCTGTCATGTCGGATAAGAATCTGAACCAAGGGACTCCGCACATATAGTGGACCACCAAATAGTAATATTTCCAAATTGGGAAAAAATGTGTTTGTATTTAGAGTAAGAATTTGTCTTCATATTTAGAATAAAAATAAATTGTGCACCTCGCTTAATGGCTTCTATTCGATTAAAACCTGCAAAGAAAAATATAAATAACGCAACTCACAAATTTGAGAAAATTTGACATCGTTTGGGTTGAATTTTGAACAAAACGAGTTCGTGTAATTTTAAGGATTTAATGATATTTTCATATGATTTAATTATGAATAAATGTTAATATATTACACATATTTCTAAAAAGAAAATTTTTAAATGAACTAAATTACCATAAAGAGTTACTGAGTAAAGATCCATGACCTTCGTATAAGATTTGCTACTTTGACCAATTGTAACACAGGTGCGAGGCTCCAGAACAAACATACCTTGAGTTCACACAACAGAGAGACGTGCGAAAATTCACTTCTTCAATCTGTTTTCTCTTGCGATGCCGAACGTTACTGGTATTCAAAGGGCAGCCTTACACTTTCTTTGCCCTGTTGGCACATACAGTTTCCCACCCCTACCAAATAAACGAAATTCTAAACTATTTTTTGAAGAATATGTTACTGATTTCACATGTATACGTTCTTCGAACATAAAACTAGCGCAGAACAGTATATATATATATATATATATATATATATATATATATATATATATATATATATATATATATATGAATTATTGATTAGTCTAAATCCGTGTGCAAAGTCCTATCAAATTCTCTACAATACTACGCCACAACTTTCGAGAACCACTCCACACTCTTCAATACTAACCACAACTTTGGAGAACTGCGCGACACTGCTGAAAAATGATCTTGTTTCTGCTTTCACATGCATAAGTTCTTCGAGTTTAAAAAGACGAATAGTAGCGAAATTATAATAACATATGCGAATGCTTTGTTTGCTTTTTCTAAATATTTGAGCAGTGTCCGATTAAATACTCCACAATACTATGCCACAACTTTGGATATTTGCAAAGAACTATGTATCAGCTTAGCGTGGCGCCTTTAGAGGGTATTTTCATGTTAGAAGGTGTTTATTTATTTGCAAGGGCGTAATAAAAATGAATTTTAACCATAATACAGTTCCCCGACTTGTCCATCCGAGAGCGTAGAAAGTTAAATGAAAAAAATATTGATTATAAATTCAAAGTCAGTGTGATTACTCAAGTCGTAACGATTCATGTTATACCAGGAAGGCAGTATAGTAGTTCATAACATTTCACCAATGTAGGTGCATCAAAATTACTTTTTTTTTATTCTTCCAGAATATTCTAGAGGACCACTATTATCAATTCATCTTGTCGAAGGTGCCCTCAGTCAACCCTAACGCGTTTTAGTTGCTTAGAATCTTTTCAATTGATCTCGTAAAATGGCCAGTTCCTCACCAGGAGACTGAGACGCCTCCAATTGCTCCGATTGGTGGACCGGAAGGGAATCGCGGGTGACGGACGGTCAGTCGGGTGACAGACGAACAGACAGACGAACGGACGGATGAACGGACGGTTGGACGAACGGACGGACGGACGGACGGACGGACGGACGGTCGGACAGACAGAAGAAGGACGGATGAACGGACGGTTGGACGAACGGACGGACGGACGGTCGGACAGACAGAAGAGCGGACGGTTGGACGAACGGACGGACGGACAGATGAACGGACGGACAGACGAACGGACGGACAGACGAACAGACGGTCGGACGGACGGACTGATTGACGGCCAGACGTAGGGTACTCGATCACTATCATATAGGTAAGATACGATCAGATCTGGCAATAATACTGAATTTACTTTATTTTGCACTCAAAAGCTCGTTCTACTGGTGATCGATGACATAAAAAATGACTTTCATTCTTTACTGATACGTTACTGCGTGTTATTGTCTACGAAATGGAGCACGATATACTCTACATAATTCACAGATCAAGTGGATCGTGGTTACGAGGGGAATATGAAAACGTGACGCTACTTATGGGAGGGTATTATGGGAAGGAAATATGAAAATACAAACCGAGTCAAGTTAACATCTAGTTAATTAGTAAAGAAGTAAATTTGAATCATTAAAATAAGGTTTAAAAAAATCTTGCGTCTGTCACGGGCGTTAACTTGTTCTACTGATCTCAGGCCACAAAAGCCCTCGGCACAATACCCTCTGCCTTTTGTCACCACTCGATCATTATAACCCTAATAACACCCTTGGTGAATAAACAACTATTATTCTCTAGCTTTTGTTCATATAAATTTGAATTTTAAAATATGTTTCTGATATTTTAACTGTTGTCATTTACTACTAATTTATTATTATAGAAGAAACAGGAAATGAATGAAGTGTCCACACGATTTCTTTTATACAAAGAATGTTAATATTATCGGAGAAAGGGTTTTTTTCATTAATAATCGAAGAGGAATTTCAACGTCGCAGGAGCGCGTATAATAATAATAATTACATGAAAGATCAAAGAATAAACTTCAATGGGGTAGATTCCTCCGGTCATCAATTCTGAACTGGACTCTGGTAGGTACGTTAATACCTACACGATATTCATTTATACCATAAATGGATATTATCTCTCCAACAAGCCTCGCTTCCGACGAAATTGTATTATCAATACATCAAACATATACGGAAGTCCAAGGTTACGACTATAGAATCTTCTAAGTTGTTTGCTGATAAAATTACTTCATTGAGAAAAGATAGCTGATTTCGTGCCGTTATCTTCTAAAACATTGTTGAAAATAGATAATACTATGTTTGGGAGGTTATTAAGGGCCGAGTAATATAAAACAGGGAGCAGGAAGGTATAAGATTGAAGGGTAGCATTCGCAAATATTCATGCCTACATTCTCCCGGATATATCATGGATCTAGATTTTCTGTCAAATTTAATTTTATGTTCGACCCCTCTATTACCATCAACATTAAACCATCCACCCTTACGTTTTACCACAAAATTCTTTCAATTCCTCAAGCCTTTCACTTCCCATTAGGGAGACGAGCTCCAAACAGAGCACGCATCCACAGAAAACAACCCAGACAATTTCTGACACACTCTAAAACCCTCGCAAATATAACTCCTCGAAATAATTCTAAGGCAATAATGGCTTCATAATGTAACTCAACTCATTAACGCTGTGTCGAATGTATTCAAACCTATTGCGAAAGAGGCGATACAAGCAAATATTTTTCTAAAAAGGCTTACTTCTAAATTTTAACGGCGGATAAATGCCCCAATATTTTACCAGCGATTATCACTCATTGAATCCGATGCTCGACTGATTTGCTTTGTTGGATTTTATTGCTTGGCTATCCTTTCTTAGACATGCAACATCAACCAAAGGTTATTATATGTTATCGGAAGTAAATAGGCGTTTCCAAGACATTTAACGATCATAAACATACTATAAATAAATGTATAACATTCATATAAACTATAATACTTTGCTTCAAAGTTTACTTTGCACACGCTTTGTTTAGCTGTCCTTTTGTTAGATGTGATAGGGGTAGAGACGGAGCTGTGGGGTCTGTTTTGTTAGCAATACTAAACTAGCGGTGCTAGAGAAAAACGAAGACATTCTCGTATTAGTTAGTTCCCTAATCTCCTTAGTTTTGGCTACCTTTTTGATTTTGCCCCACCCTCTTCCAAGCTGCTACTTATCGGCGGCTGCAATACTGTTTTTCACCTTTCCTCAATTTTTCGGGCCCCTAGTAGTAGAATTGAAATATGACTTTAAGAATGTTATAAAAGGGTAAAGCCTAGTCCTATATGTACATTTTATTGAAAAATTTGCAACCGATTTTAAGAAAATGTCGTTTAAGCGTTTCTGAAAATGCACAATTTGAAACCATTTTCACCCCAAACTCGCAAGTTTTCGAAAACTTCATCAGAAGCAATCGTACTCACAAATGCGATAATGTATAAAAATGTGCGTAATATACGTGTAACTATTAACGTCGTGAGAAATATTTCAAAAAACATACATTTGTTTAATTTTGAATAAATTAAAATGGCATTAATGGCATGTTATTCATATATATTTAGCAATATGAGCAAAAAGTTTGAAGAAAAAAATTGAAGCCGATTTTGACAAAATCTCGTTCGAGCGTTGTCAAAAATGCGGAATTTGAAGATAATTTGCACAGACAAGTTTTGAGTTACGCAGTTACGAAAAGTTCGAAGACAGTAACTTAAGCGCAAAGATTACCGAACATATTTAAACTGAATGTCCAGGAATCATATGACGCACGAGTTCTTTTAAGCGTTTTCAGTTGTAATTTATTATTGTAACTACGAGTATTATCCTAAGTTCACTATAATATACTGGCACAAGTCTTGGTTAATATAAAACTTCGGGTCTGAAATATATTATTCTGGCAGGAAGAATCTAAATCTATGAATTCGATGAAGGCGTTATACTTCGGAGCAATGTGTTCTGAAACGACTTTCCATCGAGGGAGCTCTTGGAGAATTTCGAGGCAATGCCAGAGAACCGAAGAAATTGAGCAAGGAAAGTGTCTAATTATAGGTGAATGTGACACAGGGCCGGTCTTAGGATGTTTTTTTTTCAATTGACATAGATAAAATTCTCCCAGAGCTGACGCCAAATAAAGTAAGAATTGTAGCACGCGAAGCGTATATTAAATGTTCCTAGAAGGAGTCACAAATAGCAGCAAAAACAAAGTATATTTTACCAAATGTTTATAATATTCGGAATCCAAGTATGTAACAAACACGTTGCCAACATTCCTACAACAAAAGAGAAAAAAGCCTTGTTGAAAATCAGTTGTTGTTTTTTAAATTTTGTTGCGTCTACATTGACGTAACGCGTCTCCAAGCCCCTAGAAAAGCATGTAGCACTTGCACTTGGGAGTAATCCTCCATTAACATTCATTATAATTGTCGTTTACTGTCAAGCCTCGTCACGAGAAGTTGTCAAGAGGACCGCCATGGACCGTCTATTTCATCGCGCACTCCTGGGTTCCATCCAGCGGTCAGAATTGGGAAAGACTTCGGATAGGGTTTTGGTGTAGGACGCTTCTCAGGGGTTAGAGCTCGTTTTGTTGGAACAAATACCAGTTACCAATACACCAGTATGGTATGAGCAACACACAACTCAGTTCCTTCAATAAAATATTAACCAAATATTTACAAGACTTTGGCTCTCCAATCGCAATCATTCTGGTGTCCGCACCCCATTAAGTACCCAGGGCAACCTTGACTCTCTCAAATAATAGAGACAAGGGTCCATTAATGAAGGATTATAGATTATTGAATATCATTATTCTTCTTTTATTTTTGTTGTTGTAAAATGGATGTTCTTATGAACTGAAGCTGCTAACGCATGTGTATCTAATGCTTACTTTTCAGTTCGTCGTAGGCCAAGCATGACCAACGACTTTTTTGTTCTGAACACGCTGAAGTACTAGCTACCAGACGTTCAGCTGCGACCATTAGTTTTCTAATAACTGCAGACCGGATTTCCGTGCAGTAAAACCCTGTAAAACGTGCAGTAAAAACGCCAAAGCGTGCAAAAACATGCAATAAAAATATCAAAACTTTGCAAAATGATGTTATGTAGCCTAAAAACTCCAGTTAATCCACTTGTAAACTTATTTTACACTTTGGTTTCAATTGAAAGTGAATAAAATATGATTTTAGAGTTTTTATTATAATATAATTAAGTTTGCACACGTTATTTAAATACATTCTATTTTGTATTTTAAATATTGTGAGCTCAGTCGCTGATGCGCACTTCTCTCCACTGAGATAGCTCAAGCAGGCGCGCCACATTTAAGAACATCATGCGTCTTCACATAGGGTACCTGGCGTAGGCACAGCACTCAGTAATAACATAGGAAAACATACTGTGTTTTTAAATACCCCTTATCATTATAAAATTTAATGAAATTGAAGAAAATTCGTAGGATAAAAAACAATTTTGTGAAAATATCAAAAACATGTAAAATATGAAGTAATGTAGTATCGAATATGTAAAAATGGCGGCGACGATTCGCCAAGATTACAAATTTGAGATCGGTAAGTAGAAAGATAAAAAATGTGTAATTACGTAAAAATCCGTTCTCATGTGATGATACATGGAAGAAGAAACTAAAAGCAAAGCAAATATTTTTTTTATTAGTTATGCTTAAAGCATAATAGCATAATAGAAAGTTCAAAAAGCCATAACGCTTGCAGCTATCATTATTTTGCATTTCCAGTACAGCATAATAATTATATATTAATACAATTATCTAAATTACATTTGCGTCATACGATCGAGCTGCAACGCTCATGGGGGCTCACTGTTAGGACCTCACAATATATCAAAAAGTTGCCGGTTGTTGCCGCATTATTTATGAGCATTATTTATCCAACAATGGTAATATAATGATTATAATAAAGAACTATAAATTAACGACCTCTTAATTACTCAACTTTTGTTTGTCTTTGTGCAACATAGAAGATACAAGAGATTTTAATAGGTAGGCCTGACGCTACAGATTTATTTCAAATTGTTATGAGGTTTTTATATTATAAACGATGAATTGTCTAGAAATACAAATATCGATGTGTATCCAATCCATTTGAAAAACGTTATGCCAATGTTGAATTTCCTTTTCACGTTGTGAGATCTATAGTGGATTTCACCAACGATGATCAGTACCTTCGGCGGACGTCAAACCATTGACGGCGCGTCAAAAGCCTTATTTACGTTTCAGCAAGGTCGTTTCGCTTGGCGATCGTCAAACTAATCGTCAAAATTCGATGGACCGGTACTACCCTAATCTCCTATATCTAGGTGTCTGGATCATCTGACAAACTTTTCGATTCCACAACAAATATAAATTATCGCTCTTTGTAAAGAAATAGTTTGATATTCGATTTTTCCGAAAATCTTCCTTCGATATTATAATAAAAAAAGTTCCCAATAGCCAAGATACACAAATAGTTTCAATTTTTTTAAACTCCATTTTGTCTATTTTAAATTTTGTTTCAAGAATTTCTATTTTAAATTTCGGTTCACATGTGTAGTCCATAGCGTAAATCTTGTAGATACAACCTTCTCCGAGAAAGGTTTTGACATTAAATAGGTTTTCCATGTGAACTTTTAACCTGTTGACACAACACGTCTTCTTGATATGTCAGAAAGGGAAAACGCCCTTCTGTTTTGATAAGGAAACAGTCTAAAAATAATGTAAATAACCAATATGCAAATATAGTCGTAAAATTCTTTACAAATATTCATCTCAGTACAACTTAATAATAATAATCTCTTAATGCCAATTGAATTTCCTTGTTTTTAAGAACATGTTGGTACTCCTGCAAAGGGGTGTGACGTCTTGTATTTGCTTCCACCAGTTTCACTGTGGATAGAAAGCCGTAGGCGACAGCAGGCAGAGAGATATTCGTAGGAAACGGTGCAGCTAGTCACGAGGGACTAAGTATATATTTGTACACCAAGCGTAATACTAAACACTTTTTTTTGCATTGTTAGCGGTTCATGCTCGACAGAAAAGGTTAAAAGAAAATGCATAATTATTTCCTCATATTTCGTGATAATGCGACCATAATGTTTTGTTTGAATCGCCTGTTACCCGTTTGTTCTCAGGTTGCACTTGCGTTACAACTCAACTTCTCCAAAATGATGGATGTACCGATATCATCAGATATAATGATTTTGGGTGGAAATTCTCACCCTGAACTTGCAAATTTAATAGCAAAGTAAGTGCTTTGAACCCTCTTCTCCCTCTCCTCAAAATGATGCCTGTATCCTTCTGTCAGTTACGAAAATTTAGTTTGACGGGTTATTATGTTAAATAATTTTATTTTTTAGCCGCCTTGGAGTTAAACCAGGAGGATGTGCTGTTTATCATAAGACAAATCGAGAAACAATGGTTGAGATTGGAGATTCAGTCAGAGGCAAAGATATTTACATCATTCAAACGGGAACTAAGTATGTTCTTTGATTTTGTTTTTGACACCATTTGAACCTTTTTTTAAACAAGGATAAAGGAGCTTTATCATCAACCTTGTTTTTCCTTCAGGGATGTCAATAATAACATCATGGAATTGTTGATTATGGCATATGCTTGTAAAACTTCTTCGGCAAAAAATATTGTTGGTGTTATTCCATACTTGCCCTACAGCAAGCAATGTAAGGAGATTTGTTACATTCTATCCTATTTAATTCCATTAAATATATTAAATCTTTTATTACATTTGAAAAGTGTATTTAATGATGAGCATTGACTTGCATTATCGTCTTAGGCAAAATGAGGAAACGTGGTTGCATTGTCAGCAAGTTGTTGGCTAAAATGATGTGCAAGTCAGGTCTTAGTCATGTTATTACGATGGATCTTCATCAGAAGGAAATTCAAGGCTTTTTTGATTGCCCTGTGGATAACTTGCGTGCATCACCCTTCTTGTTGCAGTATATTCAGGAGTGTGTGAGTATATAACAATTATTCTCTGGAAGTTTTTTTAATAATGGATATGTGAATAATCCATAAAAACAAAAATATGATGCATTTCATTTATTTGGCATTAAATGGTATCCCAATCTAGCCATGACTATTATTAAATTATTAACAATTCTTTTTTTCATTCCATTTTCAGATTCCTGACTATCGTAATGCAGTTATTGTGGCACGAAACCCAGGTTCTGCAAAAAAAGCAACATCATATGCAGAACGTTTACGTTTGGGCATTGCTGTGATCCATGGTGAACAAAAAGAAGCCGAATCAGACATGGTGGATGGCCGTTATTCTCCCCCTACTGTACCTCGTTCCCGTACAATGGATGTGGGTGTGGGTGTACCTGTTCATCCCGCAAAGGAAAAACCCCCAATTAATGTAGTAGGTGATGTGGGTGGTCGAATTGCTATCATGGTGGTAAGTAATTTCTTGCCTAAATGCAACTGAAATTTTAAATACACATAGTGATACCTGTGAAAGCAGATAATGTAGATTTTAATTTTTTTTGTATAAATATTAAAGTACTTTATTTAAATAATGCTTCAAATTTGAAGTTTCAGAAAACAATATTTCAGGGATACTTCTTGTCTCAAAGAAAGGAATAGTTTTCCATTCTAAAATGTTGGTCAATATGTTATTAAATAATTTAATATTAAATGAATTGTGCTAATCAAGAAGTTGTGTTAATGAACTGATGACAGTGAATACTGTTGAATTTCACCTAGGAGGCAATGCACTAGGTTATAACTGGAAAAAATAGGGAACCGACATCAAACATTTCCAGTTCTGACTTAATTTCTAGCTTATTCAAAATTTCTGAATATGCTTTTTTTATTTATGCTATTTTGAATGCCATATCTTGTTGCACTGCTTATAAAATTCAACAGTGGACATCAAAAGTATCATAGCTCATGATGTAAAGTGAATATTCATATTTTTTAATTATGTATTTGATAAACGTATATTGTCAATTGAATATTGTTATTTGACTACTAATTGGAAAATCTTCACTTATCTTTAATCTTAATTGGTTGATTAACTCCTTTACAGAATCTTCTTAAGTTCAAACATACCCTAAGCTGCTATTTCAACATTTCTATACCTGAATTTTAACATCTTGGCTAAGATAAAACATTGTTAATTGAAAGAAATTGTATTTAAAGACTAAGTAATCCTGTAACTAGTATTGTACTTCAGCTTCTGGTCAGTGACACCCATCTCAATCGTTTTTTTTTTTTTTTGTCCAGTTTCCCCTGACACTGAACAAATGTGGAGATGGCCCCTTGTGCTTCTGGACATGTTTCTTCTCTGTATGTGCCTACTTTCTTGAGCTGAATGTAGATATTCGGAAAATCATTTATCATTTTATTTCTGCCATAAGTTGATTCCTTCGCTTAGAGCATTAGGAGTATAACCTAAATGTGTAGCTGATTTGCTGTTGCAAATCTATTTCATAGGAGCAAATATTTTTGTTTTAAATTCTTGCCAAAAACATTTAGTGCTTCCTGTATTCTTAATTCAACTTAACATTTATATGAATTATGATAGATGTCCTACAGCTCAAGAAACCATGCACTTATTGCACTTCTCTCCACAGTATGTCACACTGTTTTGGATGCTAAATAAATAAAACTAGCCCACTCTGAATGTAAAAATTTTACAAAAGGAACAAAAACTCTTTTTTTTTCCACATGAAATTTAATTAGAAACATTCTATATTCTCACCACAATGTAGGTGGAAATAAGCTGAATTTCAACTTAAGTTGGTCATGAAGTTATGAAGGATCTCCTAAACTTGCAAAAATGCAAAAAAAGAAATTTGTAACAGGAGCTGGTTTTTATTGAGAACGCCTCATTATTTATGCTTATTGTTTAAATTGAATGAGTGTCCTTTAAGCAGAGACTCACTCAGGCTTATTATTTTCTGAGGAGAAAGTTCTAGAATAAAACTTCTATTATTTTTTGTGAACATTGTTAATATTTTAGATTTAGAAATGTAGTCAGGAAAATTAGATGTAGTTATATAGTTACATTACTTATGCTTATATACTCATATTAAATTTATCATATTATATACTCATTTACAAAGTCACGTTTTAAGATTTTATAACTTAAGGAATTTAATGGCTTGCCTTTGACTGAAAAGTTGTGAATTGGAATTTATTTAAAATTGCTTAAATGCAAATCCAGATCCATTAAGTTTCTTTTTATTTTGAGTATGACTGTTTGATATTACAATCCATTTTTACTGAAACTACTAAAATTTGTTGCTTTATAATATTTGCCATTTTTTTTCCATGGATCATGTACTGATTCAATTTCAAGATATGCGAATTGTCTTAATCAACATAGATATGTAAAACTTGATTTCATTTCAACAGCTTACTAACATTTTCATAACTCAAAACATTTTGAAGAGTGTCAGCATGCGTTATGAATAGACTTGTGATAACAAGGTATATACGTGAACTCTGCCCTTTCTGCAAATCTTAATGCATATTCATTCCCTGGTGGTTTTTGGTTTTCATGTTATTCTTGGAATAAGAATCTTATACTTCAAGCCAAAATATAGTAATTAAACAAGTTCCAGTTTCAAGGTCAGAAAGGTAAACCATTTTATTCAACTAAGTGCAATTTTTGAATACGTAGTGTTTGTAGAATGATTTATTGTGTCTTTTGAATTTAGAAAATTGAAGTTTCATTTTCTCCCAGAAATTTACTGGGAGTTAGTATGATATTCAAATGAGGTAGAGATGAGCTTACACGCGTCAGAAAAAATTGTCATTCTGCAAATTTTAATGAATTTCTTCAGTTAAGAATATTAAATGTAGTTATTGATGAATTTTATTCCTAGTTGTAAATACATTGATTAGGAAATTGTTATGGTTTTCTGCGTTTTACAATTCAAAAAATCAGTTAAGTTTCTAAGAAACTCATCTTTCAAAGAAACTTAATATATTTTAAAATAAATATTGTATTTGTCATGTTGAGTTCAAATCCTCATTACAAATTATATAATTTGAGAACAGAGGTAAATCTTTATTTGAAACAAGTGAGCTTTTTGCAATTGAAATAAATTATTGAATGATTGTTAAAAGCAGTTACTGACATGGTTATTTTTATTCTTTTATGAGTTACATAGTTGAATCAAATTTTCAGGATGACATGGTGGATGATGTCCAGTCTTTTGTAGCAGCTGCTGAAGTCCTAAAAGAACGTGGAGCGTACAAAATTTATGTGCTTGCTACACATGGCTTGTTATCTTCAGATGCTCCTCGACTGATTGAAGATTCTCCAATTGATGAGGTATGCCTAGAGATAGCATATTTAATAATAAATATTTTGAAGTCAATTGTAATTATTTAGAAAAATTAGACTTTTCCTGTGGATGGAACGTTTTATATAATAGTTTGTTATATATATTTTAATAAAGTACTTTTAATATTAAATAAAGGCATAAGCGAATGCCCAATGATGATGATAAGTGCTAACCTCTGAGACTACAGAAGTCTATCAGTTGTGATGATATATTTTCCTGATGGGATTTGCTTGTTTAAAATTTTTACAAGAGGATAAAATATTGTCCTTTAGATAATTATGGTATTGTTATTAAGTAATTTAAAATTGAATCATTTATACATTTTTCTGGGGTTAAGAGAAACACAGAATAAGTTTGTTTACTTTTTGATGGGTTAAATATAAAAAAAATTTTGGTGAAGGCAAATTTCTAACATGTGTGCTTGAAAATCAATAGTGGTAAGCAAAATTAGGTTCAGAGAGGAATCTTCGCAGAATTGCCAGGGACTTCATACATTCCTAAATGGAAATTTCTATTAATTTTAGAAATGAAATGTGTAATACTTGTACTGTGGTGAAATTTGTGAAACATTTAATTGCTAATTAAAATTGAATTTAAGTATGTGCACTGTAATGAACTTAATAACAATTTAAGTACTACGTGTGTAAATGTACTGTAGGAAATGATCCTGAAGTGCATTTGCCATGTATACCTCAGCCTTATGAATACAGATCACTTTGAAGTTTAATTTTAAGATTTCATTTATTGCTTGTTTATTCAAACTTAGTTGATGGACAAGAGAGTTAATTATTAATAATAATAATCATAATCATATATATATATTGAGTCACATATGCAATTACAACCATGTATGACAAGTCAATATGATTTCTTGGGTGGAGAGAGTGAAGTTACAATATCGTTCAGGAGCAAACAAGACGCCGTCTCAGCATTTGCTCATGGGGCCAGGGAAACTGAACAAAATCTGATTGAGATGGGGTCATTGGCCTAGAAATTTTACCACAATACTTGTTACAGATAGATTAGGATATTATACATAGATAAATATTTTTATTAACAGATAATTTAACATTTCAAGATGTTATTGTCATTTTAATGCTATTACTTAATAATAATAATAATAATAATAATAATAATAATAATAATAATAATAATATCAATTATAATAATAATAATAACAATAATAATAATAATATCAATTATAATAATAATAACAATAATAATAATAATATCAATTATAATAATAATAATAACAATAATAATATTAAAACAATACATGTCATTTCTGTTACCAACTACATGAAATTTAACAATATTAGTACATTCTATATTTAAAACTTGAAATGGTGAGGAAGATGAGGCAAGTTTTGACCAGTTTTTTCCTTTTTTCTTTCAATTTGTACACTGTAGTCCTGAAGCACCTAATGTGTCTAGCGAATCCAGAGAGAAACAGAATGTCATTTCTTTTTTCTTTGCTTCAGCTCGAGACAGTTAACATGAAACAGAAAGTCTAATGGGATAAGAAATTCTTATTTATATTTTTTAAGGGAAATGTTGTAATTTGAATATTCCTTTTCACTGTAGAACATGTTGTTAAGTAGGAAAGCTTTCAATTTACTTTTAAATGTGTGAATTGTGTTTATGTCTTTACTTTCATTGCCTAGTTTGTTGTAAAGTGTAATGCCCTCTGTTTGGGTACTTTTTTATAAAGTGTAGTTTCAAAGTGGGGAACATTTAGGTTATCCTTTTGATGGGTGTTGTAGTTGTGTACATCAGAATTTTAAGTAAAAGTGTCTTTGTTTTCTATGAGAATTTTCTTTGTGAAGACCACTATTTCAAATATATACATGCATGGTAGAGGAAGAATCCTTAGTTTATTCAACAAGGGTTGCAAGACTCCAGCTTCTGAGTGCTGGTCATTGTTCACAATATTCTTTTTTGAATTATAAATGTGTGAGTGCTTTCAGGGGCATTTCCCCAGAATATTATTCCATATTTTAGGTGTGATTACACATTTGCAAAATGCATTATTCAAAGTGTTGGAGCTTGACCTCAGGGTGTATAGGGCATAGCAGGATTTGGTGAGCTTCTTGTCAAGTTTTGAAATGTGAGCATTCCATTTTAGGTTTTCTTGAATTGTTAGACCAAGGAAGGTAGTTTCACGAGACATCGTTACAGGGTTATTGTTTATGAGCAAATGCTGTGAGAGTTTTTCTTCAGATCAGGGATTCATGAAATTTAGAGAGACTGTCTTGCTGGTGTTTGATGAGTTTGTTGTCTTGAAACCATTTTACTAGAGCTTGCAAAGTTTTGTGAGTTTCTTTTTCTAATGATTGTTGTTTTTTTTCTTTGATGATTGTGTTTGTGTCATTTGCAAACGAAATTATTTTGTTATTCCTTAAAGCCAAAAGCATGTCATTTATGTATATAAGGAATAGTATTGGCCCAAGGATGGATCCTTGTGGGACTCCACAATTTATCATTTGAAGGCAGGAGTAGTATGAGGAGATTCTGTTTTCTTTAGTGTGCTGGAGGGCAACTATTTGGCTACGGGTATAAATATGATTTGATCCAATGTTCTGCAATGCTCGAATCCCTAGCATTACTAGTTTTCTTAAAAGTATGTGATAGGCAATAATGTCAAAGGCTTTTGATAAATCTAAGAAAAGGCTAATGGGAATTTCCTTCTGAATTAGTGCAACAAGTATGTCATTTAAAAAGGAGAAGATGGCTGTGTCTGTGGATCTATTACTCCTGAAGCCATGTTGGGCATTTCTAAGGACATTATTTGCATTAAGAAACTGTTGGAGTCAATCATTGAAAAGCCTTTCCAGAATTTTTGAAAATCCTGATAGGTCTGTAGTTCACTGGATCATAACTATTGCCCATTTTATACATTGGATTAATTTTTGCTCTTTTGAATATATCTGGGAATATGCCTGATTTTAGAGAGTAATTGCAGATGTGATAGAGTGGTTGCATTATATATGAAGCAGTGTGTTTAATAAGAAAATCTGAAATGTTGTCCATGCCTGCTAAGAATTTATTTTCCATTTGTGATTTTAAAAATTTCAGAGGGGGTGGTTTCATATAAAAATATGGAATTAACAATTTGTGTAATATTAGTGTTTGGTTGGTGTGTTTTATTGTTTAGAGAGTGTTGAGCACTTATTACTAATTTGTGAAAAGTATTAATTCAATATATTAGTTATTTCTTGTGGGTCTTGCACAGTTTGGTTTTTGTAGTGGAGCTCTACATTTTTTCTGTTATTATTAGTTGGTGCTGTAGTCTTTTAAGTAATGTCCCCACATAGCTTTTGTTTTATTACGTGCATTTGCAATGTACTTATCATAATGTCATAATTTTTGTTTGTTTGATTACTTTTTTTAGGATCAAATTATGTGTTTTGTAATATGAAATGAAGTTTGTGTTTTCTTTCACATGACACTTTGATGCCTGACACTTTGTGAAATACATTTCAATATAAGATTACTTTTTCATTTTGCTTTCTTTCTTCTCCTCCTTCCATAATTCATTATATCAATAAGCAATTGTATTAAATTTAATATATGATTTTACAGGTGGTGGTGACAAACACTATTCCTCATGAATTGCAAAAAATGCAGTGCCATAAAATCAGAACAGTAGATATCAGTGTACTACTGTCTGAGGCCATACGTCGCATTCACAACAAGGAATCTATGTCTTATCTTTTTAAGAATGTTACTCTTGAGGACTAAGTCCCAAATGTATGTGCACAGTCTTAATGTTTTAATGTGGTGTTGAATGAAAACTGCGTGCAGTGTTAATCAGTCTCCCGTTCACTTCCCAGTTACTTGTATTGTGCTGTATAGTATCTGTTCATGTATTTTGTTAGACATCATGTAACACTTGTAGATTATTTTCATGATAATAAACAAAGAAAAGTTCATATTTTCAAGCAATTTTTTTTCTTTATTCTAAACATGGACAAATTTTAAAATGTAAGTAGATTATTTTCCTAGATTTAGATTATTTTTCATGGGACTTCTTATTTGGTTGGTTGTTGGTAGGTCATGCAAGTGAAGTTGAACCCACTTCTCCCTCTTTATATTGAAAACATAGATCTTCATTACCGTAATATTACTATTAATGCTATATAAATTAACATATATTTTTGTAAATCCAATAGACAGCAAATAATTATACTATGGCATGATATTTTTAAAAAACAGACTGAAATTGATTAACATTCAACAATCACATAACAATTAGGTGTAACCATTAGAGTAAAATAGATCAGTGCTGTATTATGTTCCTTGGTAAGCAGTAAATCTGATGTCAGTTAAATAGATTTTTGTCTTCATTTATTTGGTCACCAATACAACTAAACATGTTATGGGGTTCCTTTTTGATAATGCGTTTCATACACCCAAAAGAAATTTCCGAAAAACAAACATGTATAGACGTGTTTATAGTACTACTGTATGTTGAAAGAGAGCAAGGAGTGAACTTACAAACTGAGAATGTTTGAATTTGCAAAACCTTTTTTCCTTCATTGAAAATGAGCTATTATTGTACTCATGTTGCCTTCATCTCTTCATTATTAGTTATTTCAGAGAGCTATTGCACAAGGTGATTAGATTCTGTTAGAATGGAAATTTTGGGTTGAGTAACTAGCTGCCCTGCCACTTGCTTGTTGAGGGAGAATCAGCAAGAAGTTTTATGGAATCACAGACAACTAACCCAATGACCAACTGTTATAAATTCATCACAAAGGTTGTTACATGTATTCAACACATTCCAATCTATTTGTCTCCATGATACTCTGATTGTTTCCCCCTATCACATTCATTTTTCATATTCCTGTTTGACAAATGTAAGAAATTAAAAGTATTTCCAAACTTTAATTTATACATGAATAACAGTCTGTGAATGAAACTAAAAATGTACAGCAAAAAAACAATTCATTATTCTGTACTAACAGTGCATGCTTCTAATCTCTTCAATAATTCTTCAGGTTCCGATGGATTTCGAAATTTTGCAAGGGCTTCTCTTGTTTTCTCACATAAGGATTCTGGGTACAACTGGCCTATACGCTCCAAGACATCTGAAAGGAAAATGCATTACAGAAGAAAATTCATAATTGGGTTAAGAGGAAATTGCATAAATATTTTTTGCTACAATTTTCATTATCTTAATTTTGCAATATTCTTCCAAGCATTATTTACCTAATACACCGGCCCGAAACTTTGGATTAGGATCATCAAGATGAATGAGTAGTACATCATAGGCACTGTCAGCCTGTACAGCAGCCCCTGCTATTTTAGGTATCAGAGGCAATATTCTTTCAGCACATCTTAGAGCAGCACCACGTACTTCGTCATCCACATCATCCAAACGTCGTAGTGTGGCTAATAATCCAAAGAACTTTATCAACAAATATGTAAAATTTTAACCCTCTTAATTATTTTAAAACATGTATTTAGGGTTTTAGTGTCAGATTAATCTGATGTTTCCCAGGACTGGGTTTTGTTTTAATTTATTATCCACGTCTTGGGGTAAGGGAGACCTGAGATGAGTGTGATGTATTCTCATCACCATACCAAGCTTACTTAATCTGCCTGTGCTCTTTTTTTGTCAGGCATCTACAGAAACTGAGAAAATTTGTTACAAAAGTACAGCTTCATTTTAACCTCAGCAGGGAATTAAACCAGTACCTTATTACAGAAAGTTAGCATGCTGTCCTTAACCACCCAAGGGACGTTTTTAAAATGACATCGAATTATCTCATATAATAATGTTCTTGTTTTAGGTTCAAAACTACATCTAGTACCAGTTTATCAGACAACACATTCACATCTGTAGGGCCAGGAAGCCACCTAAAAGTGGGAATATTTACACTATTACTAAAATGAATTGGTTCCATGAAAAAATGGCTGTTTGAGTGAAAGTATAACGATGTTTAGTAATAATGATCATAGGAAATGTTGTAGAGCAAAAAACTTTTTTCTTCGAAAACAGTGAAAGAAAAAATACCACAGGAAAATCTTTGACAATCAACAACTTAATGTTCAGAAAATACTTCATGATAATAAGCAAATGGTATTTTTAATCAGATAAAATTTGAAAATTCAAAGTTCAATAACAAGTTTTTCAGAAACTTTACTCAAGATTCAATCAGCAAGATACAAGGCAGGAAACTGTGTCTCAAACTATGTTTATTATCCAGAGAAGTTCTAAAAATGTTACATCTTCAAAAGTCTTACAAAACTCACCTTGAAAAAGTGTGCAGATCTTCTGACCAAGAGAATATTCATCAGTTGTCACATTGAGAAGATGCTTCACAACTCCTGGTGCACATCGCAGTGCAAACAACCGTGAACGACCACCAGAATCCTCTGCTAGAGAAGGTAAAAGAGGCAAGAGTTCCAGCAAAGACTCCGTTAATTCAGCCTAGAATCAAACAGGAACAATTCCTTACTCTGCACTACCTGTCAAAGAAAATGTAGACACTCACAAAATGTACTACTTTAGAAGAGTATGCTCTTAATATATTTGTAATATATTATTATAAAGTTGGCTTCAAATTATCCTTAGTCTTTAATTTTTTCTAATCATCAAGCTGAAATCAAATTGAAACAAATGTTTAAACTCTATTTAAGATTCTTCTTTCTTCTGGTGATCTATTTCTCTGAAGGAGTGAAATTAAAAAAAGAATAAGCCTAATAAACACAAAATGAGAATACTTCTACAGGTGGGAGAGGTTTTAAAACAACTTTAGCCCTAATAAACTTCGTGAACAAAGTAATGGGTGAAGTATCTGTTCCTTAATATCGTTTTAGGATGTGCTTCCGCATTGATTTTTAAAGCAGTTCAGTAATTTCAGCTGATCCTCGTCATGTGAAGTAACCTGAAGGAATATTTCACATAAACAATGCTTGCAAGTTTTCTTTCAGACAATATTTTTCTGGTCATTTAACAGAGTGCTCAGAGGTGTCTAATGCTTTGCATTATTACAAGTGTATCTAAACCTGGGCTTTATGATAAGGCACATAATACAGTTCATGCCTAATACCTCATACCATGATATTTAGGTCGGAACATTAACGGTCAATCATTGTCACCACCAACTAATTATCTGGGAAGAATGATACTCCTTCACTGTTGATAGTTCTAGGGCCTTGTAAGGCCCTGATTGGATCTAATTTCCACTGATCAATTTAAGCAGATTCGGAATATTTTACACTCTGGTTTTTGCAAACTTTGCACAATCATTCCTTTCTCATCATGTCATTGTCTGTTGAGAGACAACCTGATCCCCCTTCCCATGCGAGAGATGTTCTCAAACTTTTTGGTCTCGGAACCCTTCTGCTCTGTAATAACATTCAGGAATTAGGAAACTGAGTGATATTTTAATGTGCAAGGGTTCTGCAAAGTTGTATTTTTAGCATTCCGTATTTCTGAAAAATGACTTTACATGTGTGTTCACAATTACCAACTGTCACCACAGCAATAGTAGATTCTGATGGTTAAGCTGCCCAAAGTAAAGCTAAATCACGTACAAGAATACTGTTAATGCTTTGTGATTGAAGAATTAAAACCATATTCAACATTTTTTTAGATTAGCTCTTGCAGTTTTAAGTTAAGGCCATGTAGTATTTCTGGGACCCACTGGATTAAAATTGATACACACACTCTACAACAAATCCACTCAAGACAGGCAAAAATGTCTACTCGAGAGATAACCATTATAGATAGGTTTTGACAAAAAATTTTTCGCTCCTAACCTAGAAAATGAAGAGGTGTAGTTTCATGAAAGGTGTCCATTTCACTCTTATTAAGCAACCCCACAGCAAGTGCAGATGATGGGGTGAATGCCAGAGAAATTTTCCCCTGGAAAAATATAAATTTCTCTTTGCTAGGAATACAATTAATCCATATTAACTTCATCTATGATTTCTATATATTTATAAGTTCAAAACAAAAACAATGGACAAGAAAACATTCCCAAGGGCATTATAAGGATTTATTTTCACTGTGTTGTGTAAGCGAAGATGTTCTTTGTTTCACTCCCTAATTCTTCGATTTGTCCCCCTCTGGAGAAAATTTCCAAGATGCACTCTGCCCACTCGTACATAGTTTCCGAGGGGAGGGAGTACAGTTGTCACACTAATTATTCTTCCCAATGTAATCAAATAAAATATTTGCTTTGATGATGAGGGAATTTTTGAGTTAATAGTTTCGAGGAATTTTCTTTATCGAATTTTAAACTACGCACAGTTATAAGCGGAGTGGAAACTACGGAAATCCCTCTGAGGAGGAACTTCCAAATTTCCCTGCATCCTGTGTTAATCGCCCGGATCTCACAGGGCTCCTGCGGCCACAAGATTATTTTTTTTTAGTGGGACCTTAGGGGCCGAAGGAAAGAATTCCCTCTTGATTGAACAACCACGCCTAACGGCGTCTTTTTCAACTAAATTAACGCGACCTGGGGCGTTGCGATCAGTCAAGAGAAGACTAGCACAAGCTAGTCTGTTCGCACACAACGTGGGCTGGCGGAATTCCGCTTTGGGTTGGCCGGGTCAGGAGCATTACGAACTGAGAGTCCTCTCTTAATTATCGCAAGTATAAATGTAACTTCAAATTAACTTCTCCCCATAGCACGTCACACACAGTTTTTAACTGTTTTTGACGTAAATAAATAAGTCGACGCATGGAATTTAATTTGTTGCATGAAACATTTGGAGCATTTTATTCCAGTGACTCTTCCCTCCCCGTAATGCACAAGCTGCCACTGGTATGTCCCGGGAGGTGGCGGTGCTCATCCCCGCTGTAATGTGATATCCGTCACCAACCTACATGTCGGCATGTGGGATCCTCCCTCCAAAGCGAAAGCCCAGCTGGGACAAATTCTTAGCGCCCGTAATGAAGGAAGAGTATGTGTAAGTAAGGGGGTGAGGATAAGACAAGGAAGAAAAAGGAAAGATCGCGCGTGGTCCGTGCCCCGTTTGTTAAGGTACTGGTCAGGCTTTCGCCTGGTTCTGATTGGAGAAACAACGTAATACAACCGATCAGAGCAGCCAGCCGCTAGAATTCTCCTCCAGACAGCGACTGAAGACACCGTAGCAATGTAGCTAGAGTCGAAAAACCCGCCGCCCTGGGGCCAAGGGCCATAGGGCTTCCCGGACAGAATCTCTGCAGTGGCATCAGCTGGTACTTTGCTGCGAAGCGCTTCGTCCATGCCTACCTCGTGTGCGTGGTCGCTCGCGGCGTCGGCGTCGGGGTCGGCGGGGGGCAGCGCGCGCAGCAGGGCGTCGAGGCAGGCGGCGGCGGCGACGCGCGTGGCCTCGGCGGCGCGCCCGGCCTTCCACACGAGCGGCCGGCGGCAGAGCGCGTCAGCGCAGCAGCGGCGGCGGCGGAAGGCGCGGCCGCGCTGCGGGGGCGGCGCCGCAGCAGCGCGGCGCGCGCCGCCAGCGCCGCCCCAGCAGCGTCAGCCACGCGCACCCGCGCCTCGGCCGCTGGCTCGGCGCCGCGGCGGCGGCCGGCGGCGGCCCTGTCCTCCAGCGCCGCCCCGGCCAGCCGCAGGCCCGCCGCGCGACCTGCGTTAACACCAACATTAGGACGAGAGAAGAAAGAATGACAACGCGGACGATATTCGGGTTAAATTGGCGCTTAGCGTTAGTTGATCCGAGCGCGCGCAACTGCCTGGTCAATTAAGTGTAGATTTAAGTTTTTATTGGTTGAAGGTGGGCGGTGATTTGTTCCCCGGTGGATGATGAGGGTCCGGGCCAACATACGCTGGCTTGCGTGGTGAGGTCTTGCCCCTAAGTGTAGTGCGTTTTAACCGGCAGGTGGGGTTGTTGCTCCCCGCTGAAGCAAGATACGGCGACCACCCTACATCTCGGTTTTGAAAGGGTTTTCTTCCTCGGTGTGGCTCATTGGGGCACCGCCACAGCCGTGCAAGCTGTAAGCTCCCGATTGGTCGTGCTGGTAGTTTAGCGGCGCGTAAAAGAAGCGAGAGGAAATAATGAGGAAGGAATATCGGCGGTGCGTCCTGTGCTGCTTTTTTATTGAACAGCTCGTTACTGATCGCGACAAACATGGTAACTCGGCGGATAAGCAGCCTGCTACTAAATTCTCTTTCAGTCAGATTTGATCGAAGTTTTGAAGCTGAATGTCAAAAATCCACCCACGTCGAAAGTTTGAACCCTAAGATCATCACGGTCACCGACGTTGCAGGGGCAGTTTTGCCTGAGCTATCGCAAAACCCATTCAATTGCACATTATGTAATTAATTAGATAGGTAAATAAATGTAGGGCGTTGAATTTTCAAAACAATACTGGACATTTAGTCATTATTGGACAGAGCTGATATAAGTGTCATAGTCTGTTTATTGGGATTATAAGAAAATAATTACTTAAGAAACTAAAATTGGACTTATCAAGTTGCTTTTCCTTTTTCTCACTTGCAATTAGACGACTATTACGCTGCAAGTTTTATAGAAAAAACAAATGGTATTTAGGGCTTTTTTTAATAAGAAAAAAATTGGAGCGGTTACCTGCGCGCGCCCGCGGAACGCCAGAACGCCTCCCAGCAGCGCGCGCTCGGGGCTGACCACGTCCACCGGCCGCGGCGCCGCCGTCGGCAGTCCCGCACACGACGCGGAGCTGGGCGCCCACAAGCGCGTCCCCTGTCCGACGCCGCTCCGCTCACCGTCCCGCGCCGCCGCTCGCCAGCCGCCCGACAGCCCGAGCGCAACTCTTGCGGGGGCCGGGAAACAAGAGGGGGGCTGTTTTTAGAACGCTTCCCACGCGCTCGTCCTGCTACGCACGCCCCGTTGCTCGGCTCGCGCTTTCCGAGCTTCTCCCGTCCCCGGCTCCCGGAGACCCGCTCGCCGGCGACGGACCGCCGATCGTTGGGGCAAGGAGATCATTTTATTATGTATTATTCATTATATTTATTATTATTATTATATTATTATTATTTTATTGGCATATAGACCATTACTGACCACGCTACTAGATTAACGTGTAATTCTCTCCAGGATCAGTTTTCCAGGCTGTATCCTCGATTACACAAGGTGTTAGGCTTGAACAGTGCGAATCTATGCAGATAAATGTATGAGATGATCGATGATAGGTGAAGGACAATCACAAATACGACTATGTCTAGCAGGACTGAACTGCAACCTCTCGGACAGACGACGGCTGCGCCACACCGTGTAGCGACCCATATATAATATATATATATATATAATATTATATATATATATATAATATATATATATTATAATATATATTAATATATATATATACACACAAATAAATCACCAGCCCTGAGGAAGACCACAAGATGGTCGAAACGACGGCAACACAGCCTTCGACACGGCGTCACCCGGACAGCCAAGATCATGCTCATAGATATATAGGTATATTATATATTATTTTTGTAGACTGTGTATGATACTAACAATAGTATTTTTTGAATAATTTCATAATTCCAACATAAATAAGTAGTGCCAAATACAGGAAGGAAACAAACGAAAACTCCAGGCCTTTTGGGGAAGGGCATGCATTGATCTCGGATGAGCGAGAGCGACGGTCCCGACGACGTTTGAAAACGCGGCGTCCGCGGCCCCGTGTTTTTGAAACAATTACATTCGCTGGATTATTTAGAGTTGCTTAAAGACTTTTGTGACTTTTTTCAGCTAACACTCAGTGATCCCAGCTATCTTATTGGTATTTAGCCGCACCTAAGACATCACCAAGAAACGGACGCGTATATCTGCGAGACTCCCGTTATTGTAAATGTGTTTGAGCAGTAAGCCCTCCTCGATAAGCCCTTCAAACGTCAAGTTCATTGCTTCATTATTTTCTATCCATTTTATTTATGCGATATCGTTTTAAATATGGGTTCCGTTATATCTATGACTACTAGACATCTTAGAAGATATTCAAAATGTAAACTTGGCATCGTCCTTGGAAGATTCGAAGATACACTAACAGGAATTCCACAAAAAGTTAAAAACCTTGGTGAATGCGTTGACGCGAGGTAATCATGACGTAACGCGACAGAGGATTCTCTTCTCCCTCTTAAATGCCGGAATGCGATCCGTCGAAGAAACAGTGAGGCGTTCATGGCTGAGGGGTCCGAGGCGCACAAAGCGCCAGTGTTGGGAATAACCCGGTCTGTGAAGGCTTCCGGTCGCGCGGGCGCCCAGACACTCGTGTCATACCGCGTTGACAGGGGAGGTCGAACTGGGTTGGGAACCTCTAATCCGCCCTAAACCAATTTGAATGTACTCACAGGCGTTTGAATAAAACAAGAGGGGAGGGTGCAACTACATTTCTGAGCCCCTTTGTACGCACTCGGTCCCTTTTCCTTTAAACTTTTTTTTTTTTACCAACAAATGACTTATTTTACAAATACACATGTAAATAAAACCTAATGCAAGGATAATGAAATAACTATAATGATTAAAATTTGTTTTATATAGAACCATTTACAATGTTATTTGATGTTTGGACAGCCGCTTCCCCAAATCCCCAAATTGTCAGCTTAAAAAGGGGAAAATCAAGAAAATCATATTTACGAAAACAAAATTTTTTTCTTTGCTTAGAACTACGGGGTTCGTCTCAAAATTTTCACGGCCCCCCTGTTCCCCTTGTTTGCAAGAATATGGATGTTCTCAAAACTCTGTAATGATTTGTAACCATTTATCGTGTCTGCAATGCTGTCTGGCGAGACTATCGGAAAGACGTTTGCCTTGCCTTCCTTAAAACACATGCTTCGCTCAAATTCCGGAATCGTTCGTCACAAAGAAGCCTTTAAGAAGGCACCAGTGACAGCTACTGTTGGCAGCATAACTGATGGTTCTCTCAACGCGCTCGTTAATGTCAATTGGCACTTCTTCCTTCATTTGCCTCGCAGTTGGCTCATTTATATACGCCTTTGTCACATCCTCATGCGATCTCATCGTTCAATGAAAGTATAATGTCCCACAAAAAAAAATAGAAATGAGGACGCACAATGTTATTTGTGCCTCTTTAAAAATTCATCTTTTTTTACAATTTATTGGACAGTTGTAAACAGAAGAAGTGCATGTTTTGTTGCGGAAAGTGGCGGTTATATTCCCCAGCCGGTTGGCGAGACCCGGCTCCGTCCTATAGGTCGTCTTGGGGGGGCCTCCTTGTACCCACCAACCAGGGATGTCACACCAGCAGGGCAGCGCCCCAGCCGGAAAAACTCTAAGTTCCAGACAAGTTTCCCAACATGTGTGGTAATTGTGCAGTGCATGTTGGAGTGTGTGTTAGTAAAGGATGAGAAAATGACAAGGAAGAGGAAGGAAAGATGGTGCGCGGTCATTGGCCCGTTTGTGAGGGTACTACTCCGGCATTCGCCTGGTGTTAATCGGAGCAGCCGGTCGAAGGAATTCTCCTCCAGACAGCGGCTGAACTCGACCAAGTTATCTGTCTAGTGGCAGAGGCTCCGCGGGCGACTGACCTTCGGAGCGCTGCTTGGCGGGCTCGGCGTCGTCCGCCAGGGCGCTGAGGGTGAGCAGCGCGCGGAAGAGCGGCGCCTCCACCGCCTCCAGCGGCGAGCGCGCGTCCGCGTCCTCGGCCAGCGCGACTGCCCCCTCGCCCGACGGGCCCGGCTGCGCGTCCCCCTCGATGGCGTCCTCGGCGGACGCGGGCGCGGCGTCGCCGGCCGCCAGCTCCCGGGGCGCGCCCTCGGCGCCGCTAGGCGACCAACTTGCTAAAAACAAACAACTGAAGTTGGAAGGACGGGACAAAAGGCGCTGCGAGGTTCCCTGAACACAAACTTTCACTTTGAAGTAAAGGAGAAGGTGGCACCCCAATGCAATAACGAATAAAATGTATGCGTCGTACACAAACACTATGGTCGAAATGTATACTTGAAGGCAGATTTTGAACTGCATTCTTGGCTATCCGGGATGAGCCGCGTCTCGGTCAATTGTACTGACGTTTCGGCCATCTTGCTGTAGTCTTCTTCAGAGCTATAATACTATCCAGCAGTATAGCTCTGAAGAAGGCCACAGGAGGATGGCCGAAACGTCAGTACAATTGACCGAGACGCGGCTCATCCCGGATAGCCAAGAACGCATTGATTCCGGCAGCGGAAACCTACGAACACAGATTTTAAACTGATTTCTCTTTTATTTTATCTAAATTAATACGACTAAATGTGATTATAAACTTTCTTTTCAACCTTTTTTCAACAATTTAAAGTATCTCGCACACTTGTAACGAGTGCGCATTTACTTCGTCAGCATATGAGTTTCTACTCTCATGCGGGACCTTGTCGATTGCGCCCTCGGATCTCACGTCACGGTACTTGAATGGCATCTGCCACATTATTCCCCGCGGGCAGCTCAACGAAAGGCAGGCGATGGACTTCACTTTCGCAGCCGACGTGACCTCAAGTCGAGGTCGCGTCGAGAGCATCTCAGTTGGACGATTAGAATCCCTTTCGACGGTATACCTCAGTTTCTTCTCCACGATTCTCACGGTGTTACTAACAAGGAAGTTCAGACAGGAATGGTATTCGTCCGATTGGCCCCCAGTTGGATTTCGGCTTCCTCGTGACAGCGGATGGAGACTGGGGAAATTCACTAGAAAACTAGAAGGGATTAGTGTATCTTCTCCCTCGACCAGCCTCACGCGTCGCTCCTGTCTGTCCCACATTTTGGAGAAGCCCAAGCGCGGGCGAGTTCTGGCTTATTCGGAAGCCAGCCCGAAGAATGCGTGCGCCCTGAGGCACAAACTCGGGAGCTAAAACTTTCTATAAGATGAGCGGTGCATGACAGACCCTCAGCACCAATCACCACCCTATGCACGAACAAATCGCTCTAGTAGCTGGCTCTGCAGTCTTTGCCGTTGGAAGGATATAAGCGGCGTCAATGTTCAACCGGCATTGGATTATTTTCCTTCACGGGGCGTAAACTCTATGGTGATTCGTCCCATAAGTGTAGTACGTGTACAAGTAAGGATATGCAGGAAAGTGACCGCGTGTCATTCCCAATGGAACTCGAGATCTGGCGCAGATATGAGCATCGGCTTGCTCGGACGTCCATCACGTCAGCGCCCACCGGGATACCGCCCCAGCTCATTACAAGCTATAAACTTCCGACATGTGGTAGTGTAGAGTGGGTAACAAGAAATGAAAGGATAAGAACGAGGAAAAGCTGCGCGCGGTCCTTGGACCATATTTTAAGGTTCAGCTCCAGCAACCTTGATCCGTACCTGACTTCTAGACTGTCCGGGTGACGCCGCGTCGTTGGCAGAGAGGCCTCTGTAAACGACGCGGCGTCACCCGGGCAGCCTAGACGTCATGAACTCGAGCTGCGGAAGCTTGCGACTACGTACCTGTCGGGCGGTCCTCCTCCTCGGCGGCGGCGGCGGCGGCGACGGCCTGGGCGAGCAGCGCGTGGCAGCAGTCGAGGGCGGCGTCGCGGCGCGCGGGGGCGGTGGCGTCGCGCGCCGCACAGGCAGCGCGCGAGCGCGGCAGCACGGGCGCAGCGCCACGGGAGGCGCCGCGCGCACCAGCGCGGCAGCAGCCGCAGGCGGGCGCGCGGCGCGCCGCGTCCCCTCCTCCACAGCAGCAGTTTGCCACGACCCGACGGCACGAACGCGCCAGCGCCTCGCCGGCCGACACCGCCTGCAACAGCTTGCCCTCGCACCCGCTTCCCACATTCCCCTTTCACCTTTGGCTACCCAGGAAGGCGAACCATCAGGAATTGTTGATTGCATCTACGATCACCTTTCCCTCGCACCCGCTTCCGATTTCCCCTTTCACCTTTGGCTACCCAGGAAGGCGAAGACCCATCAGGAATTGTTGATTGCATCCTACGATCAGCTTTCCCTCGCACCCGCTTCCCACATTCCCCCTTTCACCTTTGGCTACCTAGGAAGGTGTAGACCGATGAGGAATTGTTTATTACATCCTACTATCATCTTTCCCTCGCACCCGCTTCCCAGATTTCCCCTTTCACCTTTGGCTACCTAGGAAGGCGAAGACCCATCAGGAATTGTTTATTGCATCCTACGATCAGCTTTCCCTCGCACCCGCTTCCCAGATTCCCCCTTACACCTTTGGCTACTTAGGAAGGCGTAGACACATCAGGAATTGTTGATTGCATTCTACAAAACCCTCCCACCCGCTTCCCGTTTTTTCTGTCACGTTTGGCTCCAACCTCGGTAGGTAGCGAAAATTATTCATAAAAGTACCACTTTTAGTTTAAATAAATGTCAATAAATATGCGGAAAAGAAAAGCAATCGAAAAGATGAACTTTTACTCACACTTGTTGCTACTCGCAGGTCCTCATCTTCCGAGGCAAGTGACAATGCATCTGCAAGGGCTGGTAAGTAGTGAGTGGAATTTGATTCAGCAAGAATAATAAATGTTCTAATCAACTGAGCTGCTCGAAGTCTGACGTCGGGTCGCCAGTCCTTCAATTCCTTCGCCAGAGCCGGGACAAAAACGTAAAGAAAACGGCTAGCCAATGATCGACAACCAAGGGATGGTCGTACAACTGAAAAAAATTAATGCTACCAGTGCTGATTGAATTCAAATTCTTCTTCAAAAAAATGCAGCCAAAAAACTACAATATTTTGATGATGTTAATATAACAAAACAAATGGAAAAGGTAAAATTTCCTATTTTACAACAAACCTATATTTTTTGTACACAATAATTTAATAATATTCAATTACTTCAATTTTTTTTATTTATCTCCTGTTATTTATTTTCAAACAATATTTTTGAAAAATATATGTGAAAATTTCAATTTACACATTAATGTTTACAAATTATAAATATAATTTCTTCAGAAAAAAATTATAATAAAAAGAACTCACTGCTAGTAGGATAATGTGTTAAGCTATCTGGAAGGTAGTTTATTTTGTCTTTCATACTTTCATCATTCTCATTTAAGTATTGTTGTCCAATGGCTGACCACAATTGTTCAGTCAAAGCACGTATTTCAGGAACAGGGTCATGAACTCTGAAACATTTATAAAACTAATTAATAATAATCATTGAGTATCAAATACCATCAAAAATAAACTGCATCACAGTTTTTTTTGCACAATGGTTGTCAATTTTGTTGAACTGGAAATGCCTTCATTGAACAAATAGTATTGTAAAATCATCGCCACTTAAGACTTTCAGAAACAGAATTTTAAAACATTCCAGTTTCTATCATTATCAGTGAAAAGGAAATACATTTGAGTCTTCAATTCAAAAATAACATTTAAGCTATCTCTTTTCTATTCTCTACCTTAACAAAGTGAATGTAATTCAACAAAATTTGAAGCTTGAAATTTTGTCAATTAATCAAATACACACTACTTCCAAAAAAAACAGTTTTAATTTTTCTTTCTAGTCAACATAATAGCTACTGGAAAAAATTAAAGGATATGAATAAAAATGTGAAAACGTAACAATTTAAATAAACATGTTTTCAAAGTGAATCCTTGGATTTCTAAGCAAATGTTTGAATTTTTTTTTTTTAATTTAAGTTTTGATTTTGTTTGTCTAGTAGCACCGAATTATTAATCACTAATATTAAATGAAATAGTAATGGGCAAACGGAAACTACTTATATTGATTTTTCAAGTGTTTGATACTGGTAGTCACCATTTATTGTTCATGAAACTTCCAGATATTGGTATTCATGGTACTTATCTTGAATGAATAAAAAGCTATTTATCCATCAGATTTCAGTACATCAAATATAAATTGTTTGTATCTTAAACACAAATGTCATGTCAGGTGTACCACAAGGATCGGATCTGGGCCTTTTTTATCAACAATACTACAAATAACCTGACAGGTAAATTTTTATTACATGTGGATGATCTTACATGATTTAGCCATATTAAAACAATATCTGATTGTACACAACTCCAGAAAAATATTGATCTGACTGTACAATGCTGAAATGTGATTTGTTCAGATCTACATATTGACAAATATTGTGTATTACACAGGTTCTCAATCCCCAATGCGGTTTAACTAACAGATAGATGAAATAAATGTGGAAACAGTACTAAAATTCAAAGATTTGCATGTCATACTAAATCCTAAATTGAAATTCAAACATGACATTGAGTACATCATAGGTAAAGCCTCCTTTAGGCTGGGTTTGATTTTCAGAACGAGTAATGATTTCAATAATATCTATATTATGAGACACTATATGTATCTCTTGTGAGTCCTATCATGATGTATTTTTCCATCAATTTGGGCTCCTTACTATATTTATTTATTTTTTTTAAATTAGTTTGTCAAACATAAAGATCTGCAACATATGGTATGGAGATTATTCTTGGAATCTCCGCCATTGATGCATATTCTAATGACTATTCTCACATACGAAATGTTATGAACCTAAGCTTTTTGTCATCACATATGAAATTAAATGATATAATACTTTGCTTAACAAGTAAATAACTTTGAAGATTGTCCATTTTTACTATACATATAAACCAAATTGTGCAACAAACAGACAATTTAATGCTTCTTTATGAAGAATACATCAGCATAGAAATTATTTAAACTCATGTATTGCCACTGATATTGATTTCAATCTTTACTTAACTTCTGTAACTTCTTTTGTCAATCTAATCAAAGATTAATAATTAATTACCATTATTCTGATTATGTAATTTTCGGTGATTACTATAGGAATAAATAAATAAATAAAGCAAGATTGAACTAGAATGTTAAAATATCTATTTTTCTTTCCTTAATTATCTTCATGAACCATTAAGATTTGGCACTTTCATTAGTTTTGCAAGATATTTTTAAAATAACAATTACACGATTATAAGATTTTAACATAGATTCAGCTAAATTTAACTTAGATTCTGCAGATTCTCCCCTCAATGCGGCATCACCCGCCTAGACAAAAGCCTTCACGTGACTCTGACTGCAGAAGACTATAATGATAATTAATTTAGATTCAGCAGAAAAAATAAATATGATTACACTGAATTTAATATTATGAATTTATACATTATACATTTCTTTTCATATCCGTTATTTTTTTCAAATAATTTATAACAACAAGAAGTATTACACACTGAACATTTATCTTTTTTTAGGTGGCTCATTACTAAAACACAGAATTTCATTATATGCAACATTTTATTTAAAATCTTTAATTTTGCAATTGTGTAAAATTAAGCTTGTTAGACCAATCATCTTACAAGATGTTACTCAGACAAACAAGAGATAAAATTCTGTTATTATATACTGCAGATCGAAAATCAAAAACAATTATTCTACATGTGAATTATTTTGTAAAGTGTGCAAACATAAAAAGTACATAATATTTACCTACTTTAATATTTAGCTTATCTTATACAAAATGCTTAGCATTATTTAAAAACATCTAGGAAAGTTTTATTTATTGTTGTTGGAAATTAAATGTAGAATAATTCTGAAAAACCACTTCCTATTTTGCCATAAAGAAATGTGAGAATTAAACATTATGAATCCTACATTACATGCCAAATAATTTTGATCTGGGAATCATACCCAGTAAGTAGAAGAGGCAGAAAACGAGCAAAAAATGAGTAGCGGTCTGGCATGTTCAGGAGCCACTCTCCCACTACCTCAATGACAGCCCGACGGACAGTTGGTGTTTGGTCAAAGAGACGTTCAGCTAGAGGCACTAGAGCAGGTTCAAGTGCTTTGGTGTCACCCCGAACAAACAACTCTCCTGCACATAAGCAAGCAAATATGAGCACGTTTACAATGTTTATAAAGATCCTCAAAAAATGAAATACATAATTCAATCCTTTTGATTTTAAAATTTTTTTTTTCACTAACCTCTTCAAAAAGAAAGATCCAAATAATATAGTGAAATATTTTATTAAATTTAAATTAAATTACCATTTATTATTGACAATTACATTGAAAATTCATGATCCAAACCATAAACAATATCAAAGTTCAACAAACCTGTAGCATAAATTGCTGCAATTCGAACTCTGGAATGTTGAAAGTTAAAATTTTGCAAAATTGCCTTTGCCAATGCAGCTGTGTGGGAGAACAGTTCTCGAGGAATAGCTTTTGAAAGATCACAAACACAATCACACGATTCCTTTTTCATCTTTGGGAAAGGATCATTTAAAGTCTTCAGTAGTATTTGTACCAGTTCCTCTACATAATGTGATAGACATGATTTAAATCTTTTAATAATTAGATGATATAATTCCATCAACAACAGGCGCACTTCCTCTGAAGGCTCCACAATCTCGATGTTACCTAGTCTTTGCACTAATATAGGCACAATATAAGGAAAATAGCTGTCATTGGTTTCAGGAAGAACTTTTAATATATCAGTTATGATATTAATTGACAGTTCTCTACAACTCTCTGCTTTATCACTGAAGCAACGCAGTAAATGTTTATAAACATGCTTAACTTTCACATCAAATTGTAATTCGGATTTATCATCAAACACTGCCACTTTTAATTCTTCAAGAGCTTTTCTTCTTCTTCTCTTGTCATCACTTTCCAGAGCATTGCAATATTTTGATAAGGACGACACTGGTAGTGAATCTGCAGAAATTGACATTTTCACTAATGCGAATTGTAAACAAAATTCAGTATAAAAATACTGTCACGTCATTCATCTGAACTTCAAACACTTCTGTAGATCGCCATTTGTAAACAACGTGCCGTTCCTTTGGCAACAAGTACACTTGTACTATTAAGATATTTCATTTAATTATAATTCATGAATGAAATATAAACATTTCATTAATAATATATTTTATGTTTGAAGAAACGTATTTCACTTTCAAATTTATTAACCTTCTGGCACATGCCTCCCGCGTTGCCACGTTCAATCCCCACCCCTTTCCGCTACGAAACGAATAGCGAGCCGCTTGTCGATTTCGATAAATCGGCATTTGATGAATTTTATCGAAGGCTGGGAAGGGCTGGTCGAAGATCCTGAAAGTAGGTGGAGTCATCTTTACGTCGTTTTGTATGCGAAGTGTTCTTAGATTTTGAATTACCGTTGCTGTATATTAGTTTGGTCGGTAAGTGTTTTCATATCCCTCATTTTACGTCACGCATTCATTAGACATATTTGCTCCTCACTTCCATCATGGATATTCCCTCTAATTATTGAGCGTTCTGTCAGTGCTTTTCCCTTCTACCCGCTATCTGTTTCAGAAAATCATGTCTGATACTCCGGCGGAAGGCATTGAAAATCTTAGTATTAACACACCGGAGGAAGAAATTGAATCAAACTACAAACCACCTCCTGAGAAAACTATTGAAGAAATTCTAGAAGCGGACAAAGAAGACGAAAGTCTACAAAAATATAAAGAAGCTCTTCTGGGTGAAGCAAAGACCGGGAAAGTCATCGTTGGTAAGAAAAAACCCGTTTTATTCACCCATTTATTGTTTTTTCATATATTCTCATCTCGTGTTGCCTTCTCAGATCCTGAAGATCCTCGTAAGGTGATTGTGAAGAAATTGGTACTGTGTGCCACTGATCGCCCGGACGTGGAATTGGACCTCACCGGTGACTTGACTCAGCTCAAGAAACAGGTCTTGTATAGTGTAAAAGTTATATAAATGTTTCAAAAGTAGTAGTCGTTATAACATGACTTATATTAGAATTATTCTAGTAGCTTTGCATATTGTCATGACTGTAATAATGTGTGGTATTCTTATTCATACAAAATAAAGCAGGGTATCTTTTTAGATGTAGATTGTAAATTAACTCGAGAACTAGTTGAATGTTAAAAAAAACAAATGCATGTGATTCTAATAAACACATGTAATATTTAAATTCTGCCGGAGTCATACAAAAGTTGCTATATAGTTATTGTTGACCGTTTTCTCTATTCTTGACATCTATCACATTTCTGGGTGCAGGTATTCACCATCAAGGAGGGGGTGTCTTACAAAATTCGGATTGAATTCATTGTTCAACGTGAGATTGTGCATGGGTTGAAATACGTGCAGAAAACGTACAGAATGGGAGTCCCAGGTGAGTTGGAAAAATGTCTATATGTTACTGAAATATGGTTTTCTACTTCAAATATCAATTAGAGCTCGGTTAATTGATTGCTTGCAGTGCATGTATTTATTAGCTTCCAGTATTTCGTAATTTATTAACAGTTTATTCCTATTCGGGTGTGGACTGACGACCTATGGTTTTAGGTTTGGTTAGTAGGCACTATTGCTTGAAAACAAGGCTAACAACCTAGATAATAGCTTCTATTACCCAATTCTCAAGGACCATAATTCCTGGCATTATTTTATAAAATTACTAATTTCAAGCCAATTCTTTATTTTTCATTGCACACATGGATTATCCAGCTACACCAGGTAAGGATAGGGTAAATTGCTGTCAGAAGGAATATTGCATGTAATTCTTTCAATGATTCCACGTTAACTCTCTTTTAACACAAGCAGTTAATATATTCAGGGTTTTGTTGCAATTTTATAAGCACTTAATGCTTGTTGTCTCATTCCATAATAGTTTAAGCAATGGCAATCAAGTTTTAGAAATTGTATGTAATCTTGCTTTTTGAATGCTCATTATGGCTTGTTCTTATTTACCTAATGGGGATGCTTGGGCAGCACAGTAAATTGGACAACGACCAAAGAACAAGCACTGTTAGTTTATTTCTAATCTCAGGACATCACCCACTCACAGTATAAATAAATCTGAGGAAAATGTGAGCAAAGCACCAAATCATGATTTTGAAACTTAACAAAGGATGATGTGCATGTAAGTGTTCATTGTACAACTCAAACAATCTTATTGTATTAGAATGTTTAGTTTGTAGCTTGCTAGAATGTTATTTCATGTAGGTGAATTTCAAATTAATTCCATTAATGTCTGCGGTATCTGTCAAATTCGTTGTGATCGGGATTGATGTTGGTTACATTACTGGAACTGGAGTTGTAAGATGGTATAAAGTCTGGTTTGTTAGAATGCCATTTACTTGCATGGTCCAATTCTTACAAGCACCGTTTGTTTGTTATTTTTTTAACTAAACATTTTCTGTTTAGAAAGTGTTCAGATTCAGACTGTTTAGAATATTAAACAAAGAATAAAAATACAAAATTTTTTATTCTAGTTTCTCAGAAAGACATGAAGTTTAATTTCTTTGGCAAGATGTTCCTTATCAGTTTTCTCTATAAATATGCAATTTAAAACATTTTGAAATATATGCAGTTGATGGTCTTAGAGTGAATAATAGTTATTTATGAAATAAATATAATAAGATCACTTATTTGTTTAACTGTATCACATTAAAATTACGTATCACATTAACTCATATTTTTCACCTTTCTTAGACAATGATAATAAAATTAAGGTAGATAAATTATTTCATTGAGAGTTGATTGAAACTATGTACTTGAACTATGAACAAGACAATCTAGGAAAAATTAAATCAAATGTATATTTGTATGTATATAATTTCGCTTTGTTCATATCTTTTAATCAGCTCCAAATGTATTAATTTTAAGATTTGAGAATTAATCCATGGCTGACTATTGTGTTGTAATAGATCTTTTTAACAAAACAGATCAGTTTCGTTAAGGTTTGCCTTTAGATAGAGTGGATGCAGTATTGTTATGTAATGGTTTAATTAGCTCTCCATTCATTCAAATTAAAGTTGGCATGGTAATCCTGCAAAGTAAGGCATATATTTTGTGTAATTTGCTAAGAGATTTCCTGTTGCTAATGTAGTCACATTTTTATTAGTTTTGACTTACGAAAATGAACATGAATTCTACCAATCCTTGATTATCAGAATGCGGTGCTCCCTTTCCAAAGTAAAATTTGGAATTTTTAATGAAATAATTTACTGTATGTGTTATAGTGAGAAGAATAAATGTTACATATTATGTTCATGTTATGTAAATATTAAAATTACAACTGGAAATGCATACAAATGTTATGATACTATATTATCCCAGAATCACATGCTTTCATGAAAAAGCAAATGCATCTTACTGACTGAAAGTTGTTTTTTAAAACATCTAATGCCGAAAGGGATACATTTTATTTTTTGAATTATATCATATCCCAAATAATCAGTATGAGCCAAAATATCAATAAGGTTCATAAAAATATAATTGAATTTGTGTTGAAGGTTGTGATAATTTTGGGATGATGCTTGTGATAAAATATTGCTTTTGTTTTGTACTACTGCGCATCTTTAATTCATTACTGTAAGAAATAATGAAACTATGTAAATAGTAAGATGGTAGAAGAATTATTGGTATTTTTTTTCTGTTTCAGTGGATAAGATGACCCACATGGTTGGGAGTTATCCACCAAAGGTAGAGATTCAATCATACACCACACCAGCAGAAGATGCACCGGCCGGTATGATGGCGCGTGGAAGCTACACTGTTCAGTCACTCTTCACGGACGATGATAAACATGAGCACCTGAAATGGGAATGGGCTTTTGATATCAAGAAAGATTGGAAGGAGTGAAGTTATTCTTTGGTGTATACTCAAATGCAACTCTCTCATTTCGTTGGGACTGCTGGATGTGGAAATATTCTTGTGTTTGTGCTACTTAGTTATAACAAACAAAGCTTTGTAATTTTTGAGCAAGTTTACTTTAATCTTTTATGAACTTACTGTTAAGTTTTCAATCTTTTGTCTTACACATTTGTAATTATTGCTTAAGAAAAATGCTAATGGACTTGTGCCCCAGCTTGAGTGTACAGAATTGTTAGCAGATTTTGACAGGCTTACCTGTGAATTTCAGATAGTGAACTGTAAGATACAAAATATATTACTTGTGTCTTTTTTTTCTTCACTCCTCCACACGCTCCATATTATTGAGCATTCCACTCCAAATTGTTTCCAGTTGTACAGCTGCTTGTCTGATCGAAAGTTGTATGAATTGGATAAAGTGTGGTTTCTGATGAATAATTTTGTGCTTCCAGAAAAAAATATCAACACTTCTAATGGCTTTCAATTTTGTGCTTGTAGTTTTCTAGTCCTTAAGTTTTAAAAATTGATTATAATTAGAACACATAGTTGTAATACAATTTCTGGTGCTGGCTGTGGCAGTGCAATTTATAAAGATGAGAGGGTCTTGCATTTCAGTATAAAATTCTCTCTCGTGTGGAGAATCGGTAAGATTTCTTGTATAGCAGACTTTCAAGATTGGAATCCTTCGCCTTACTTGACCTTATGAAATGGTGATTGTAATCCTAATAAATTAAAAGTTTTCAACTTTTCTTTAGATACCAAAGTGCAATTTACCAATACAAATTGTAATGTGTACGACTATGACCAACATAGAGCAGTTTTCATGTATTTTAGGAAAAGCTTGAAATGTATATTTTGGCTGTGTTACACTCCTATGATAAAATTGCTAGAGTTAATTTTATTAACTTTCTCATAATTATATACAAAAAAATACACAAGTTTTGTAAAAGGCAAATGTAATTTTTACTTAGCTAGTACTCCTTGCCTCTTTAATGTGGGTCAAAAATTGTGTCCCTGTGCCTTCCAATTGTTACGTTACTGCAGGTCCTTGTGTGTCCTTAGCTGTACTCAGGTGCCATAGACAAAAATGGGCATAGTGGAGACCAGTGATGCACTTCTTACAATTCTGTAATTAATTTCAACAAGGTATTGTAATAAGGGTACAAAATAGATCCTTGTATCTTGAATAAACATTTTATATGCACACAGTGGAGAGTTTTTCATTTTCCCCCTTTGAACCTGTTTTGAAATAGAATGTTTTAATATTAATGGCCTTGGATAATCAGTGAGGCGTATATAGGTAATCAGGCGTCCATTGCTAGCATGGAATTTGCGCCCGTCGGGATAAGAGTTAGGGTTGGTATTTGTTTTAGTGGCGCCCTTGTGAATGGCGTTCACGGCAGGTGCGATGTCTGGCATGCCGTAGATACGCCTCTGATCATAATGATAAGAGAGGTAAGTCCTCACGACTCAAAATATTTGACCATGAAAATGAGATAAAAGTTCTTGGGCTTTATAAATAGTCTTTATGCTTGTTTCCCCTCATACGAAAACAATCGTGGTGGAAAATAAGGTGAAAGGAAAGGGTCAAGGAAATGCCAGTTAATGCTTTTAAGACTTTCTTAAGCGTTGGCGCTGCCGGTTTTATAATATTTGTTTTGATGAGTAGCTCAAATTGCGAGTGAAAGAGGTTGCCATAAACCGCTTGTCATTCAAACCCGCGCCCAACGATAGACGTCACGCAATGGCGCCCAACCGACAGGTGCTGCCCTCTCGGCGGCAAGTGGCGAACTAACTTTTAAAATGGGGCACACTGATGTTTCTTTGTGAGTGCAACCATTGTGTCGTTTTCCTTAAATGACATTGGCTGTCGTCAGGAGGTGCACGGTTCGCTGACTGCTGCTCCGGAGACGTTCGCCGCGCTTCTGGAGGATCCAGGTACGCGCGGGCAGCGCCCCGGGGGCTCGATTCGCGACCAGACGCGGCGTTTGTTTATGTGTCGATCCGAGCCTGGACGTCAACATACCAGGATGGTTGGCCTCAACAGGCTATACCCGTTACGGGGGCAGCGGCCGTCGCTTCCGCGGCGCCGCGGGGCCCAAAGCACGGGGCGCGGGCGGCGGACACGGGCGGGAAGGGCGTCAAGGACGGTCGCGGCCCAGGGCGCAGGGCGGGCGAGAATAAACAGCTGGCGGCCGTGGGCGCCGCTTTATCGATGCGCTGCGGCGGCGGGGCGGTCGCGGCAAGACGGGGGCGGGCGCCCACGGCAGGGCCCGCTCCGCTGACCCGCACCGGCCGTCGCGTCGCCTCGCCTCGCCTCACACGTCGCTTGACAGCCCGCTCACGGGCCGATGGAGCGAGCGTCGAGGCGACGCGACGCACGGGCGAGCGCCAGCGGGGCGGAGGACCCCCGTGCGTGTGTATAAATAGATGCGTGCGTTCTTCCCGCCCGCCCGCGCCTTTTTTCTTTGCCGCCGTCCCCAGCAGCACCGGGCGACGGCCGCCGACCGCGGCCGAGGAAGACGGCGCGGGGACGACTACGCGCGCCCTGCGGCGTATTTCCCCCTCCCAGGCTCCTCCTCTCTCCGGCGCGCCCTGGCACGCGCCGTCGCCGCGCTGTCACGCCCCCGCCCGCGGGCGGCGAGCGGCGGCCTCGATCGGTGACCACGGCGTGACGCGGGCGGAAGCGGAGCGCGCAGCGACGGGTGCTCCTCCAGCCTCCTCCGCGCGTCAAGCGAGCGAGCCGGACCGCGCGACGGCGCGCTTCCGGGAGCGGCACGTCAGGGCATGCGGTGTCGTCGCAGGCCATGCGGCGGGCGGCGGTAGGGCGTCCCGCCGCGCCCGCCGACACTCGCCGCCTGCCGCGCCGCTCCGATGGACGCAGCGCAGCCGCCGCCGCCCTGGCGGGCGGGCCGTCTGTGTGCTGCCGCCCCGCGGCCTACACGAGCAGCGCTGACAACCGGCGTACGTGGCGGATGCGTCTTACCCCGGCCATGCGCCCGCTGTACGCGCACGCGGCTGCTGACGGAGCTGCTGCTGCAACGAGAAGGCGCTGCCACGGTTTAAGTGCTTGCGCGCTCCTCCGGGATCGGCCCGCGCGGACCCGGCGACCCGGCGGCGCTGCGTCGCTCTGTCGTAATCTCGCTTCTGGCGACGCGCGACCCGTCAACGCTGCTCGTCCCCCGGGTTGTCGTCTCCCTACCGATTAGAACACCGCCGAAAATTCTCCTCTCGACACCGCCCGTTCAACCCTCTCCCCTCCCCCTCGCCCCCAACCCTCCCTAGTTTCCCACCCGCCGTGCTTGGAAATCAGTGTTGCGTCCGGGCCGCAGCAGCTAATGGCCTCACTTGCGCGCGTTCCCGGCCTCGCTCGGGGGCCCATCAACTCGTCCACGGGCTCTTCTCCGCCGCTCGGGCTGGGCAGCGTGCCAGCGGGCGCGGGGCCGCCGCAGCCTCCGTCTTGCGTCACGGCGCGACCGCCTCCACAGACGCAGCTTCCCGGGGCCGAGATAAGCGAGGCTCCCGGAGGAAGGCCTTGGGCGCCGCGGTCGCTGCAGCCGCAGCCAGCCAGCCAGCCAGCCAGCCGGCTCAGCGCGGGCGGAACGCGCGCTCTTCCGGGCGTGACGTCAGGGGCGGGGGAGGGGGCGGCGGCGCACCGCTCCCCGCCGCCGCTGACTCAGCCGAGGTTAATGAGGAAGGCCGCCGCGCCGCGCGGGGCGCGAAAGTGTGGCACCGATCGCCCCCGCGGGCGGGCGCCCTCGCATGCTCTCCCGCTCACTCACTCACTCGCTCGCCCTCTTTTCGCGGCCGGATTCGGCAGCCGGTGCACCCCCTCGTCCACCTGTCGCGCTCCGACGCACCGGCTCGGCCCGGTCCGGAGCGGTTTGAAGCGCGTGTATCGGGGTCATGGCCGAGCCGCGCCGGGCCGTCTTTTCTGCGAGTTTCGTGAGCGGGCGCGCTTGCGCCTCCAGGACGAGCCTTGGGTGCCGCGCGGGCGGGTGGTTTTCGAATCGGATGGCGGTGACCGCGGAGGCGAGCGGCGCGGCGCGGGCGGCGGGCGGGCGGGCCGACCGGCCGCGCTTCCGCCCCAGCTGCTTTGTTGCGGGCCGCCCGCTGCGGCGTTGCCACACAGGAGGAGATACGGGAGCGAACGTGCTGTTGATAGCGGGGGAACTACGGTCGGAGCTAATTTGCGTGGCGTGGGGATCGGGGAGGCCTTGGAGCTCCGGATGCTCTGGGTTTTAAATATTTAAAGGTCGTCCTGTCAACGTACAAGTTGTAAAAACTCATTTAAAACTGCGAAAGTCGATAAATGTAGTAAGTACCAGTTTGACGATATGTAACGAGAAGGGAAAATGTTATTAAATTTAATGCAATAATTTAATAATTATTACTGGCAAATTTGGTGTACATTACGAGCACTGTCACGAACGTACGGAATATTTTTATTAGTAAATTAAAACGGGTTGTTACTTTCAATTGATTGAATCTAAAACTTGAAATTTTTAGATATCATTGCAACACTGTGTAACAGCTGGAACATTTCAAAGACTTGGTTTGTCATCACTGACACATAACTTCTCCTGAGCTGGAAAGTGCACTAGTCATCAACTTAACGGGGTCCACTCGATAAACGCCAGACATGGTAGCGACCTTGCACTGGCTTGTTAGCCCGCGACACTATTTGGCTAAATAGTTATAGATAAGTCTGCTTTTCCAGAAGCTGTAGGCTTTGCGAGGCAAACAAAAGTAGTGTGATAAAAATTGATAACTTTTCATAAGGAGAGTAACTGGACTTGCATCCATAATCTCCAAACACGCTTACACGGCCTAAATTCTACTTTCTGCCTCCACGCCTTTCTCATTTCTTTTCCCACTCTCAGACAAAATGAAACAAACTGAACACTAATCGCAGCGAGAGAAGCAAAACAATCACTTTTAACCCCCTTTTTATGACGCTTCACGAAGGACGCCTCGTTTAGTAATAGTGAACCCGGCTGGACGTCTAACAAAAGTTGAAGTTTACAGCATGTTTGTGCCACGGTTTCGCTTAGTTCACAATTTCGCGAAGTGCGTTGCATCTTTGCCAGAACCCAAGGCGCACAACTGTTTTTCACTAATTCCTGTAATACCCACGTAATTTCCCCGTTGGCGATGATGTGTCAGTCAGGCAAAGGGGACGTTACACCAGTGGAAAACTGCTGCGGTTACGGCCATGTCCGGGAGGAAATAACGGCGAAGCAGGGAAGTGCGTTTAGACAGCTACCTTCCGGGAAAAAGGCTGTTCGTTGATGAAATGTGAACCGCACGAAGGAGCTTCGAAAAGCGCCGAGTCTCCAGATGCTTGTCTGGCGGGCCCTTTTCCCTTATCAAAGGCGACGATCGTATCTCGCATGTAAAACCAGGCTGTGTTTCCGTTTCGCGTGCGGGTTGACGTTCACGTAAAATCGACTTTCTCGCTGAGTCAGCCAGCCCCCCGGTTGGTATTTCGATATGCGTGGGGCCAGCGTATGAGTCGGCTCTTCGCCTGCAAGCGGCTTGCTCACCTCTCGATTCAGTCGATTAGTAGTCGGCTCGCAACAGGCTGCTTAGGCCTTTAGTAGCTCCTTTTGTGTTCAGTACTTGGAGTTCGGAAGCGGTATTGTGGACGCGCAGATATTTGGTTTCGGTGTCCTGGACGAAGGCCAGGAGGTTAATGTCTAAGAGGAGGAATAACCTCAGCGTTCCCAGATAAATGTATATTTTAGTACCAACCTTCAAAAATCCAGTTACTTTCACTAGAATCCCTGGTACCAATGACAATTGATTTAAATTCTGAAATTGTTCATATTATAGCTCTATGTTTTTAACGCGCACGCGAAGTTCGTTAAACTTTACTGGATGTCGATTTATTTCATTTTATATTGACAAACTAAATGAAATTGACACGTTATCCTCTTCTACTATTAAGGTGACCAATTGCCCTCCTTTAGGGAGGACAACCCTTTTGTAGCTTCTGTCGTTCGTGAAAAAGTGTCTTCCTAACTTTCCTTTTCGATATTTTAAAATAATGAATTAATCTAGTGTTAATGTGGTAATCTATTTAATCAAGTAAGAAATTGCGATTGAATGTTGATTTTCTAGCTGTAGCACTCATATACAGTATATATCTTGCTCCAAAATGTCCAATATATTGTTAGAAAATGATGTATTGTCAAAAAATAAACTTCAATGTAAAAATACTCTTTTAATTAAATAATTTTCCCTTTTCAAAGTCGTGACAATTTAATAAAATTAAAGGGGTGTAAGCATAACTTGGTATTTTTGTTTGAATTAATAAAATATTTCATTTATTTACGTTGTACCTTTTTCTTTTTTTTTTTTTTCGTCCTTTTCATTGTAAAAAAATGGTTACATTACTACAATAGCACAGGCTAGAAAATAACGAACCTATGTTACTCTTCACATTTCTACTGCAATGCTTTCACCAATATCGTAGTTTATTTGTAATATTGGTATTAGGTTTAAATTATTGAATAATAAAAAGTATTATACGAATCTTAAATTGTACATTGAAAATTACCGTAGACTTATAATCCTGGTATTTAAACGTACCAGTATGATTCATCGTACAATTGTGGTAAAAATCCCAGGATCCCGGTACGTCTGGCAACACTGAATAGATACTCTATCATCAGTATCTTTGTCGGCTTTTAAAATATGATGTGGATATTTACAGCCACTGTCGATGTTATTGCTTCAATACGCGAGATTGGAGCCGATAACATTGCATTGTTGGGACGAGAAACTAACGGGCAGCAGTGACAGTTCAGCCGAGATCTGAAAGTATATTTATTTATTTTCAAAAACAGTTAAAAACTGTGTATGACGTGCTATGGGGAGACGTTAATTTGAAGTTAAATTTATTAGTGGCCCGATGTAGCGTCCAAAATGAAATATGGTATTTTATTTGGGGAGTAATGTATTATACAATTGTTACATTACTGTAAATGCATAATCCCGATTGTTACATTCTCTGTATCTGAATGTAATGATAAAATTTGTTTGTAAAAAATTATTTATGGTGACGGAAGGCAATTTGCAAATTGTTTCTGTTTTGTTTATGGGAGAACCACCTTCGTAGCACTTTTTACAAACAACC